AATTGGCCATGTGATTCTTTAAAGAATAAAATCCATAACAATAAGGTGTGTTTCATCGGCTTAATTATACATAATTTTATTTAAAAAAAAAATGAATGGGATTGGGCAGCATGCAAAGCCTATTTTAGCCCTCTCGCGAGATCCATCAGTTTATACAGGACTAGATGCATTAGGCTGTTAAATTAACATTTGGAAGGGCGACCGTGAGAATTGTGGGAGAAATTGCGAAATAGAAGAACTGGTCGTTCAAGTTTTTCGGGTGACTGACTCGGATGGGAAGGCAATCTTAAAAGACATAATGTGGGTATTAATTTGTATATGTGTGTGTGAGAGGAGGTGTTTGTGTGTTATCAACTACTAGTATCACATTTTGATAATCAATATTTATTGAAATTTGTTGTCATCATTAAACTGTTGATTTTTGTATGTCTTATGTAAAAACACCAGTTTGAACAAAGAAATCCATATATTTGGCATGTATATTAAAAGTTTACTTAGGAATTTTTACAGGAAGCAATAGGTATCCTCAATGAATGATAAAATCTTAAATATAGTATGCTTATAATTGTGCAGCATGATCATCTTAAATTGGAGGTATTAATCGTTTCGAATCATGCCATAATTGGGAGAGCCTGAGATTGATTATCAGAGTATAAAATCTGAAATTCTGGCCTTGTGGCTCGTCATTCTGCTTTTTTTTTTCGCACCTACAGCTGCCTTGGAGGATCGAAGTTTTTTTCAACTATGAATGAGTTCATGATTATCAAGTATAATTAGTGAGTAAAATTATTTTTATTGTCTTAATCGGGTAAAACTTCAGCGGTTAATCTCGGTCACTGAATTGTGCGTCTTTTTCACAATTTTTTGAAGCATGGGAGTAGTATTAAATATTTCGCGAATCTTGGTCTTGAAAGAACTCATTACATGTTCTACAAGGATGTAGTTGAAGAAAAGTTCATGGATTAAAATATATGGACACTGCATGGCGGATTTAGAGGGGGAGGGGCAATTTTTTGGTGTGACTGTGGACCCCTACCCCGACCTCAAATTGGTCGCCCCCCCCTTCAAGATTCCTGGATCCGCCACTGAAGGATATGAATATAGAGTAGTTGCTTTAGGCCCTGATGTAGCTGTATCAATGATTTGGGAGAACGAAAAAGTTCTTTGTACAGATCCCACGCAGTAATTGGAGATGTTGTATCGGTGATGTATCGCAGGTATAATAATATATCAATTCTATCCAGACTTAAACAAAAAATACCTTTCATGATAACTTCTAATCAAATTGAATGCTCAAAATGTTTATAGTTTAAATGAAAAAAAAAATGATTTTGCTCAGGAGCACACACTATTGTAACACAATGACAGCATAAATTTAAATATTAAGATTATTATTTATTGTTGTGAAATAATATTCAGTATATTTTCATAAATGTATTAACCTTAATCTTATTATCTACTACACCACTATATACACTGAGAGGGTCGGGAATAGAAACTAATGTGAACGTCTAATTAACCGGACAATGTGCAAGAATGTGCAGACCACTCTACTGACCAGCATCTGGTAATGATATGATATCTCCTACGCATCTAGTGGACTGGACATAGATCACACATGATCCTCTCTGATATGGAAAGACAATAATATGCTAATGAAAAACTTCTTTGGGAGCTCTTTTATGGGAGATAATGAAGACGAACTTAATACTCATTAAGATGTGATCTGATTCCTGTTTCCAAATATATAACACTCGTTCTGTACCCTCCAGTATAAAACCTGGTGAGCGCTTGGTATCAGGAGCCTTTTACCATCCTTGGCTCCGAGACCTTTGGTGAACGCTTGTTGCTTAGAGAGACTTTTGTTTGTTTGCCATTTTGGGTTGTAATAATAAAACAGTTATATAAACTTTATCAGTCTTCTTAATCACGAGTATTGTCACACTATGCTTTTTAAAGATTGTCACTCTTATAGTTTTAATTAACAATACGGCAGCATTTTCAAACAAAATGTAGATTTTTTATTTTGATTACAGATTGTTACAATGACATCGATAAGAACTTATATGACGGATCTGTTAATATCCGTGGCGGATATCAGTGTTGGAACCAATTTTTCTTACGTAGCTTTTCTGTAAGTAAATAATCGTTAGATTTTTATTTCCAATCTACTCATTTGTACAATTAAATTTAAGCAACCAATTCCATCTGTATATAAGTTTTATAAGTTTCATTATTATAATTTACATATATATAATTATATTTTTGAAAATATACATGTACAGTCAAACTTCGTTATCTCGAACCCGATGGGACCGAGAAAAAACTTCGAGATATCTGATGATACGAGATATCAAGGTAAAAATAGATAAAGAAAAAGCGATTGAGACTTCAAACTCACTTTGACATATCCATGGTATTTGAGATATCGACATACGAGTTAAGGAAGTTCAACTGTATATATTTCTGTCAATTTTTAGTGTTTACATCAGAAAATTAACCAGTTCAATATTCTCACCTTTTCAGGTACATGCAAGTAACTTTTACAGATTGACTTCCAATAATCGAGAACTTCGTAAATTGTATATTAATTTTAAGGTCATGTGATACCAAAAAATCGGGATAAAGCGTTTTTTTTTTTATCATATAGCTTTTTTTTTGGTTGTACATGTTGTTTTTAGATTCAAATTATTTAGAAGTTTAATATAGATACAAAAAGTAATGATTTTAGGAGAATGCAAAAATATGGATGGCTTGATTAGAAAACTGTGTTATGTGATTTAGCAATAACAAAGGCTGTAAAAAATCTTTTACAATTTTCTTTTAACATGTTTTTGAGCATCCTTTTTCCTGAAACAAATGGATGCTTTTACTGAAATTTTAAATGTGAAACATAATTTTATTTTAAATAATAAAGAGTAAAAATATATAGCAAATCTTATTATGATGTCATTCAATGATCAGTATAAAGCAAATTTTCAGTTAGAGCTTAAACCACCCTTAGAAAATATTTTGAATAAATAAACACCATCCGCTGTGTTTGCAGAATAGTTTAAACCATTTGTATAGTAATTATACGAAGCCAAATTAAAAATTTTTACAGCAAGATTAACCTTTTAGATAAATAGATTTTCGTGAGTATGATACCCGATCTAAAAATAATTATTCGAACAAAACTACATAATAGATTACCTATAGCGTTAATCATACGTTCGTTTAAATCTGCTCTACATGTAATGTATACAAACAATGATCGCTATACGACAAAGAAAATTCGGGTTCATTCCAACTATCGTCATGAACAGCAGAACCTTGAACAATATGTCAAATTAACGTCCAAACACCCCTCGTATAGACTACATCAAAATTTGTTAGAAGTAGGGCCCTTGGAGGCATTTTTTTTTCATGCACGTCAGAGCAGAGTTTTAGGTATATAGAAAAGATGATATGAAAACACTGGTTTCTCTCGACAAAATCATTTGACCAAAATAAATAAATAAATAAATAAATAAATAAATAAATAAATAAAGAGAGTAGATAAGAAACAATTTGAGGAGCTCGATGATTAGTATACATCAGGGATGGGGTCAATTACTTTAAAAAGTAATTAATTAAATTACAATTACTTTGACTTTTTTCTTCAATCAAATTACAATTAAATTACAGGCTTTCTGAGACGTGTAATTAATTAAATTACAATTACTTTGCAAAAGTAATTAATTAAATTACAAATTACATTTTTAATTTTTTTTTGAAAATTTTTATAACCCTTGTCAATGAATATACAGAACATCATTTATTTGTATACAAGCTCAGCCTCTGCACATAGAGTACAAGAAATAATATGCTATAGGCATTGTGAATCATTGTGGTTTAATTTATAACATTTATTTACAAAACATCAAAGAATCTCTTAAAGAACTATTCGAGAACAGATTGATGCAGTTTCCACCACACAAAACCTACGTGTACACAAATTGCATGGCTTATGATATTTGATTAAAAGTGGGTATTTTAATAGAGTAAAATGAGTCGCAACTGTAACCCCTCAAATTAAATATTTCCTTTGAAGGTAACCTGAACATCCTAAATTGCTATTTATGTTAAACAATTTTACTTCATAAATCAGAATTGTACAGATAGAAAATTCATTCATAAAAATCTGTTTGGATGTTAAAATAATTATCAAATTGAAAGTTTTTCTTTTCTAAAGCTAGCGGAGCATTTTAGATTGAAATAATTATCTCCATTGGCTTTGTCTTCTAAATCATGGAATGAATATCTCTTTAGAGGAGTTGATTTGTTTTGATTGCAATTTATAGTTGTGATCTGTAGGGCAATTATCACTCCCCAACAAGAGAGAACTTTATAATGACACACACTTTTTTTTTCTTTATCATTGATCAAACAACAAAGATTGAAATATAATAAATGTGTGTTTCATAGCTGAATAGACCTAAGAAGGGTGGATCAAAATTCAGATTTATAAACATAAATTAAAAAAATTCAAAATTAACATAATGATTACAAAGAACCAGATTATTATTATCAAGCCAATCATTTAATTATTTGTTTGTAAACATTAACTTCAGATTTTGTTTAATTGAAGGATTGAGGATATGTTTTACAATAAAATAAAAACCCAGTAAAATGGGGAGGTAGTGGTGACAATATATCATGAATGTGTATTATATAAAGTAATTGAATGTAATTGAAAAAGTAATTGAAATTACATGGTATTTTTTCAGTGTAATTAATTAAATTACAATTACAAGTAATTGAAAAAATGTTCAATTACAAATTACTTCCAATTACTTCAAAAAATGTAATTAATTACAGTCAATTACAATTACTTTTTTCAATTACCCCATCCCTGGTATACATGTATATAAATTGTGAAAAACGCTTTTTTTTCATCCAAAACATTAAAAAAGAAAAGAGCACACTTAAATTGCATTGTTAGTTTGTATTGTTCTCAACTTTTTTCCTCTTTCATTTAGAAAAGATTGTCCAACAGTTATACCACACCAAGAATTCAGGCTCTCCTTACTTCTACCAGCGGTAAATTTTTATCTATTCATTTAGCATATATTGTTTTCATATTTGATTTTCATTAGTTACAACCATAGAATTGAACTTTATATTCACGAATAAGTAAACAATTACGAAATCTATTATTCTTTTTTCATTTACAGATCAAATCTGTTCATTCATCGAATATGATGGAATGTTTTCCCCCCAATCTTCAATTTCTTTTTCTATGATAACAAACTATATCTTTGTTAAAATTATGTTGTAGATATGCAAAATATTTTTGTTAACATGCATGCAGCATAAAATTAGAAAGTACACAGTTTTATATGTACATATTGTGCCAAGATGGACATTTAATATGCAAAGTCAAATTTAACAATGTTATCATGCTTTATCAATTGATCATTAAAGTGAAACGCGATCTAATTATTTGTTTGTTAGCGACGCATACATGTTACGTGACATATTGACATAGCTAACTTACAAGTCTTTGTAACCAAAATAACTTGCAGATAGGGATCAGAAATATGACACTAATGAAAAGTGACCCGGCGCCCATTATTTCTGAAATAAATATAATAATATCTTCCATATGGCTGGACTGACTAAAAATTGTTGGAAAAATTGAAATACTGGTTAAAAAAAACTGTTTCAAATAAGATGTGTTTTTGAAGAATTTATGCGATTGATCGTTGCCAAATATCTAAGCTACATATATGATTTAGTTATTTGGGTTACGTAGACATGTAAATTAGCTTTGTCAACATGTCAAGTATATATAACTGCATATATAATTAAATATAATAATAAAGTTAGTTGCCCTAACGTAAATATTTCTACAGTAAATATGTTAGGAACTATAATTATTCATCATAATCTCGAGACATTTACAAAGTCCAAACATGAAAATCATTCATCTGTTTAACAATTTGAACAAGTCTTGAACGCAGAATGAAAATAACACAATCAAACCAGCTACATAATGCTATTTACTCTTCAAATTTCAGGCTATTTGCACATTGATTTTGGCGTTTTTAACTCGACGAACTAAGCAAAAACTGCACCTGTTAAATGGAAGACCAGGACTTGTATTGTGAGTATAATTTTCATAAAAGCAGATCATATTTTGTAAGTTTGAGAAACCACAAGAGATTCAGTTCAAACATACATACACAGGAAACTCAACCCAATCCTGAAGAAACAAAGCTAAGTAATCTAAATAGTGAAGATAACGAATACATGAAAAATCTCATAAATTCTGTAAACAATACAACATCGAGAAAAGACCCCAAGAGAACAGACCTTCGTCAAAATTTACGACCCTGTAATACTAGGGGGCAGAGTGGTACTCAGGAAAGCCACGGACAGAAAAGTGGGATGAACACCCCAAGCCCCCCCCCCCCCCCCCCCCATCTCCTAGACATCCAATTTAAATATCATGACTTTTTTTGACAAAGATGTTTAAGAGGTTGCATGTCTGTATTATACTCAAATACAGAGGCATAAAAGAAGAAGATGGTCGAAAGGTGAAAAAATAAATCTCAATTATAACAAATTTTTCTTTGATATATCATATAAAAATATACTATATTATTATTAAAAGTATACTTTATGTAAAATCTCCACAATATGCCAAAATCACACAAAGACTGAAATTATTTGCCTATATGAAATAGCATACACATATGGCGTCTAGATTGTACACCCGAATAGTGTGGAATTAAGATGCTAATCGTGGACATGCTCTGCCATATGGCGGACGAGAGCGCTGTCCAGCGTGGCTGTCTTGGCGCAAGCCAGCCGTTAAATGTGTAAAATGTACAAAACAGCAAATTACATACAATTACATTATATTAACAAGAGAACTATTTATCAATGATTTAATCATTTCTATGTATCGTCCAGGAGATAAATGATTACTCAAGTCTTTAACCCTGAAGTCCTTTGACATCCGTGTGTTCAAACTGACCGGAGGCACTTTGAGCATTGTCTACGAACTGTCCCGGATTAACACATACATTTTACACATAATTTCCTTGGTCACATTTGAACGTATTCTTAAGAGACAATGATTTTCTTTGAAAGTGCTAATTGTAACATAGTACACCTTGACTGCAAGACATTTGATACCACCTGTTCTTAAGTTAACGTGTTAATTATTATTCAATTATGTCAATTATGTCCTTCTGCTCAGAGTTACTCAGTATTACTTCTTATATTGTTGTTACAAGCAAATTCAAAGAATTGTGGTCCCCCCTTTCTGTGTCTTAGTGGATAACTTTCCAGGCACGTCAAATATCAAAATCGTAAAAAAAGCCTGGAAAACGTCAGTTTTCCAGGCAATTCAAATATCAAAATCGTAAAAAAAAGCCTGGAAAATATCAGATATTGCAGACTAAGTGGATGGAATGCCATTATTTATGGCTTATTGTAACTGTCTTGTTTGTGTGTCCTGTCTTGTCTGTGCATTATACAAAAGAGACGTAAATTATTGTAGTAATTATAACTATGGCAAAGATTATTGCTTCTCAAAACTACATGAAACTTCAAGATCAAGGTCATGAGGTCAAATATCATAATAAAATCCAAAAGGTCTTGTCACAAGTAATGAACATGTGAAAAAAAAAATCAAAAACCATAGAGCACAATCTTAAAGGTCTTGAAACGGGTAATGCACATGTCAAATGTAAAAGTCATATCTTCTCCAAATCAAATGTTATATGCAATGTTAAAATTTTTGAAAATTTTGTCAAACTTCAAGGTCAAGGTTATGGGATTAAAAATCATAGTACATTTGAAAATGCTAATCGTCACAAGTAATGCACATGTCAAATATGAATGCCATAATCTTCGTTCCTTCAGAAGTTAGCAACACTAATGAAATGTTTGAAATTTAGGTCAAACTTGAAGGTCAAGGTCACGGGGTAAAATATCATAGCACATTCGGAAAAATTTTGACACAGGTAATGCACTTGCCAAATATAAACGTCCTATCATATGTCATTAAAAAAAATCACAAAAGTTAAAATTTTTGAAAATTAGATCACACATGAAAGTCAAAGGGTCAAGAATCATAGCATGCTCGGAAACACTACTTATCAGAAATGCACATGTTAAATATGATAGCCCTCTCTATTCTCAACCAAAAGTTATAAGCAAAGATAAAAATTTTGAAGAGTATGTCAAACTTTGAGGTCAAGGTCACGGGGTCAAAAATCGTAGTATATTTGGAAAGGTCTTGTCACAAATAATACACATATCAAAATTGAAACCACTATCTCTTCTCATTCAAAAGTTATGACCAATTTAAAGTAATGTTAAAATTTTTGAAAAGTAGGTCAACCTTCCAGTTCAAGGTCACGGGGTCAAAAATCATAGTGTATTTGAAAAGGTCTTGACACAGGTAATGTACATGTGAAATATGAAAGCCCCATCTCTTCTCATTCAAAAGTTATGACCGAGATTAAAGTTTTTGTGACAGACAGACAGATAGACGGACAGACTGACAGATGGACAGACCGGCAGACAGACTGACATAAAGACGAATGAGATTTAATGTCCCCTCGCTTTCGCGAAGGCGGGGGACAATTAATTGGTTGTTTAATACAAGATCTTCAGTTGGAAACTGGACCTTGCACTGTCCACGCCGACTCCAGATCAAGTAGAAAACGCCAAGTTTTGGACAGTTAATAAATTATTAAACGAAGAACCAACTTGTGTATTTCAACCGGACAACACACACTAAAGAGGGCAAAAAAGATCATTTTTCTCAAACCATACCACAATTTTTCGATATGAGTTGGTTTTCGCTCCATATTTTTGAAAGTTTATTCTCAAAGTTTGCGTAAAAATATACATTTTTGGGTAAACAAAAACATGGAGTGAAGACCCAATATGCCTTAAAAATACACTTTTATGACACAGCATTCGCATCTTTCCGAGAAATACTTGAAGTCCATTTATTAAATGCCAACATTCATCAGGATCTGTGTAGCGTAGTGGTTAGCGTGTTAGTCTCAAAAGAAAATGATACTTAAGATTTTAATTGCTAGGGTTCGAACCCCACAAATACCACATTATTATTATTATAATTAATTTTTAGGTCACCTGAGTCACTCAGGTGACCTATTGCTATCCGTTTTTGTCTGTCGTCGTGCGTCGTCCGTCGTGCGTTAACTTTTGAACATTTTCAAATTCTTCTCTAGAACCGCTCAACCAATTTCAACCAATTTTGGCATATAGCATCTTTGGGTGAAGGGGAACAAAAATTTTGAATTTCATGGTCCCTGCCCCCCTGGGGCTTGAGGGGTGGAGCTAAAACCACCAAAATTGATGCAATCTTTAAAAATCTTCTTCTTTACTCCTGGACATCAAGCAGTCAAACTGTTGACATGATTGTAATAAGCATTGGGCCCTCTACCAAAATTGTGAAATTCATGGCCCCAGGGTCAGGGGTTCTGGTGCTAGGGTGGGGCTATATAGATCATATAGTGAAAATACATTATTTCTTTGAAAATCTTCTTCTCTGCTCCTGGGTATTATTTAAACAAACTAAATGCATGGTTATGACAAGCAATGATGCCTTTTCCAAAATTGTGAAATTCATGGCCCCAGGGTCAGGGGTTCTGGTATTAGGGTAGGGCTCTATTTATTATATAGTGAAAATGCACTAATTCTTTGAAAATCTTCTTCTCTGCTCCAGGGTGTTATTGAAACAAACTAAGTGCATGATAATGGTGCACAAGGATGATTTTTCCAAAATTTTGAAATTCATGGCCCCAGGGTCAGGGGTTCTGGTGGTTGGGCGGGGCTATATAGATCATATAGTGAAAGTGCATTATTTCTTTGAAAATCTTCTTCTCTTCTCCTGGGTATTATTTAAACAAACTAAGTGCATGGTTATGACAAGCAATGATGCCTTTTCCAAAATTGTGAAATTCGTGGCCCCAGGGTCAGGGGTTCTGGTATTAGGGTGGGGCTCTATAGATTATATAGTCAAAATGCATTAATTCTTTGAAAATCTTCTTCTCTGCTCCTTGGTGTTTTTTAAACAATCTAAGTGCATGATAATGGTGCACAAGGATGAATATTCCAAAATTGTGAATTCATGGCCTCAGGGTCAGGGGTTCTGGTGTAAAGGGGGGGGGGTATTGATTATATAGTGAAAATGCATTAATTCTTTGAAAATATTCTTCTCTGCTCCTGGGTATTATATAAACAAACTAAGTGCATGGTTATAATAAGCATTGATGCCTTATCCAAAATTGTGAATTTCATGGCCCCAGGGCCAGGGGTTCTGGTGCTGGGGGGGGGGGCTATATAGAGCATATAGTGAAAGTGCATTATTTCTTTGAAAATCTTCTTCTCTTCTCCAAGGTATTATTTAAACAAACTAAGTGCATGGTTATGACAAGCAATGATGCCCTTTCCGAAATTGTGAAATTCATGGCCCCAGGGTCAGGGGTTCTGGTGCTAGGGTGGGGCTATATAGATCATATAGTGAAAATACATTATTTCTTTGAAAATCTTCTTCTCTGCTCCTGGGTATTATTTAAACAAACTAAGTGCATGGTTATGAGAAGCAATGATGCCTTTTCCAAAATTGTAAAATTCATGGCCCCAGGGTCAGGGGTTCTGGTATTGGGTAGGGCTCTATTTATTATATAGTGAAAATGCATTAATTCTTTGAAAATCTTCTTCTCTGCTCCTGGGTGTTATTGAAACAAACTAAGTGCATGATAATGGTGCACAAGGATGATTTTTCCAAAATTTTGAAATTCTCGGCCCCAGGATCAGGGGTTCTGGTGTAAGGGGGGGGGGGGGCTCTATTGATTATACAGTGAAAGTGCATTATTTCTTTGAAAATCTTCTTCTCTGCTCCTGGATATTATATAAACAAACTAAGTGCATGGTTATAATAAGCATTGATGCCTTATCCAAAATTGTGAATTTCATGGCCCCAGGGTCAGGGGTTCTGGTGTAAGGGGGGCTCTATTGTTTATATAGTGAAAATGCATTAATTCTTTGAAAATCTTCTTCTCTATTCCTGGATATTATATAAACAAACTAAGTGCATGGTTATAATAAGCATTGATGCCTTTTCCAAAATTGTGAATTTCATGGCCCCTGGGTCAGGGGTTCTGGTGGTTGGGTGGGGCTCTATTGATTATATAGTGAAAGTGCATTATTTCTTTGAAAATCTTCTTCTCTTCTCCAAGGTATTATTTAAACAAACTAAGTGCATGGTTATGACAAGCAATGATGCCTTTTCCAAAATTGTGAATTTCATGGCCCCAGGGTCAGGGGTTCTGGTGGTAGGGTGGGGCTCTATTGATTATATAGTGAAAATGCATTAATTCTTTGAAAATCTTCTTCTCTGATCCTGGGTATTATTTAAACAAACTAAGTGCATAGTAATGGTGCACAAGGATGCTTTTTCCAAAATTGTGAAATTATGGCCCCAGGGTCAGGGGTTCTGGTGCTAGGACGGGGCTATATAAATCAGATAGTGAAAATGCATTTATTCTTTGAAAAATCTTCTTCTCTACTTCTGGATATTATTGAAACAAATTGAATACATAGTTATGATAAGCAAGGGTGACTCTACCAAAATTGTGAAATTCATGGCCCCAGGGTCAGGGGTTCTGGTGCTAGGACGGGCTATATAGATCATGTAGTGAAAGACTAGTGCATTATTTCTTTGAAAATCTTCTCTTCTCCTGGGTATTATTGAAACAAATTGAATACATAGTTATGATAAGCAAGGGCGACTCTACCAAAATTGTGAAATTCATGGCCCCCAATAAGGGGCTGTGGTGCTGGGGGGGGGGGGCTCTATTGATAATATAGTGAATCTGTAGTAAAAATACATTATTTCTTTGAAAATCTTCTCTGCACCTGGGCATATTAGAGGTAAAAACAGTAAAAGTTTTAATAAAGATTTTTGAACATCTGGACCATTTGTTCAAGTGTTCTGGTCCTGGCCAGGGCTCTATTAATTTGTATTCAACTGAGAGGAGTTATTCCCCTTTGCCATTTACTTTTGATAATTAATCACTGTGAATAATGTACTTGAAAGGTTAATAGAATAGGAGAATTATGCAAGATTTTTTATTGTATAATACAAAAAGTACTTTTATAGTTTAAATGATCAGGTAGACTTGTAAGTAATAGATAAATAAAAATGAGACAAAAATAACCTGTCTTATTCAATGTTCAACAAAGACCAAGAGAGTCCAATGTAAGAGATTTCATCAAGAAATTAAAATAGTACAGAATCCCTGATAATTTGTTAATATACTGTATGGTGATAGTGAAAATCTTCTTCTCTGCTCCTGGGGAACAGATTAGAACCTAATTTATGAACTGTTAATGAACAGTAGACTAATTATTTTGTTGATCCTGATCACCCTATTTTTCTTGCTTTGGGCAACAGCTTCACCTTTCAGTTCACTTTATACTCCATGGATCCTCTATATTGTTGTATTATACTCAGGTGACCGTTAAGGCCCTTGGGCCTCTTGTTATATATCTAAAGCTATAGGCATTCTGCATGCCTTGCTCACCCATCGTCTTTGTTGTATTTAAAATTATCTCAATGATATACTAATGAAATTTTGAGTAACATCTGTTCTCAGTTTATGGTTTTAAGTCCATGGAAACATAGGAACCCCTGGAAACACTAGAGGCGAGATCAGGTGCCTAAAAGTAGTAAGAATCCTTTCTTTATAGGTCACACCCGCTTTGGGTCCTTTATACTGACCTGTAATCTGTAGTCAAAATTAGTATGAAAACAATTACCTAACATTTCGTATGAAATATGACAAGCAAAATTGACCAAACGATACTCTGTATATGAGGGCATTATGACGATTATAGAACTTAATGAGACGAAGCAAAATTTGTAAAGCCCTCGATCGTTTTGTGACCAAGGAAATTATGTGTAAAAATGTTTATGTTTATCTGGGACAAATCGTAGACAATGATCAAAGTGCCTTCGGCCAGTTTGAACATACGGATGTCAAAGGACTTCAGGGTGAAAGACTTGAGTAAACATTTATCTCCTGGACGATACAAAGAATTGATTAAATAACTGATACATGTAAATAGCTCTCCTGTAAATATTATGTAATTGTATGTAATTTGCTGTTTTGTACATTTTACACAGTTAACGGCTGGCTTGCACTATGCTGGACAGCGCTCTCGCCCGCTATATGGCAGAGCCTTTCCACTTTGTCGCCCTAAACTGGAGTTCACCATCTTAATTCCACACTATTCGGGTGTACAATTTGGAAGTCAGTTACAATAACTTATTTGACGGTTTTCTGCCTCGGTTTAAGAATTGTTCGTACCTGGCACATATACTCTCTATGTCGGGTGCCTATGTACATACCGGAAACAATACTGATGAATAGACAGCTTATATTGATGATAAAGGAATATTCCTATGTTGATACATAATTCTGATGGAATTATGGAAATAAACGATGGACAAGCTGAAATCATCCCGTTCATCATATAAGTTAGTTGGTCAGTAAAACATCCAAATATGAAACAGATGTGTCAGACTCTGTGACATCTTTTATACTGAGCTCACTGATAATATCGATTCTAAATTTGTATGAAAATTTGTAATTGATATTACGTAGTCGACATGTCTTATATGTCAAATTGAAGGCCACAAAAAGAACTTTATTTACATGTAGATCTAGAATTTTTGATTAAATTCTGCTTCATAGGATTACGAAAAGGTTGGCCAATAAAGGAGCACTCTGTTACCAATAATCAATTAAGAACGAAATAATTTAAACACCGTTTATTTCTTTTAAGAAATGAAAAACAGAGAAAATAATAGGTCTGCAAAATCATTAAAAAAAGTGCATTTTTTGTTAAGAAAAAATGATAACAGGAATGGTCTCAAGCACACTTTTTTAGAGAAAATTAATTAAGGACGTTTTTGGTAAATTGGGATATGTAGACAGTGGATTTTGGACTGGATGGCTCAGTGATAAAAGGCTGAGTAGAATTGCAGGGTGTTCCGGATTAGTACTGACGATCCTTTTAAGACACTCAACAAAAGTTTATCTGAACAAGGTTGACCAAAGGATGACTGCATTTAACGCCGGTTTTTGGGTCTCTTTCGGTCGCTTCTGTTGCTTTCATATCTTAACTTACTATTTGTTACAGAATCCTATCAATTTGCACCAAATTTAAATGTTAAAATGATTTTAGACTGTGATACAATGAAATAATTCTATATTTTTTTGTCCTTTTTGCTTTCCAAATATAGAGAATTTACTTTTACCTGCTCTTGATTGAACATTAGGTATTCCTGAGAAGTGGAGCTAACATTGTAAGAATGGGTCTAAAATTAGAATAGATAAATTTAACAATGACATGCATTAAAAATACATGATCACTCTTTTCCACGTCCCTCTTTATCCTGTATGGCACAAATATACTTTTTTACCAAGCTTTCAAAACGAAATTAACAATATGAGCACGTCCATATAAGTAAAGAATATTTTAAATCGATGCCTGACAATTTAACGTATTCGAACACAATATCCTAGTTGGCATAAAACATGCTACCTTATAAGTCACGTGACGAAATTTAGTATTCACAGAGTTTCCTGAGGTAAGAAATCACGTGGTGAATTACAATATTCAACATGTCACAACCCTTGTTCACAATAGAGAGAACGAATGTAAGAGGATCGAAGCAGTTTTTTTCTCTTTTTAAACATTAGCGCATGTTTGTCTATTAATCTCCTTTTAATACAACATTATAAATGCAAATATATAACTACTGTTAAACAGACAAAGGCTGACTATGTATAAAGTCAGTGAAAAAAGTGTGCGTCCTCATTATCGTACGGAGATTCGATAAATTGCGCTGACTCCTGCCTTTGAAAAAGTATTCGTACTTAATTTTATTTAATATAATTACGTAAAGTTGTAGATTGGATATTACCAATCCTGCAGTTAAAAGAAAAATACTAAAAGTTTATTTTGTCACAATTTTCGCATGTCCTTAAGTGCAGTCATCCTTTAAAAGTAAAGAGGATTAAACCAATATTTACAATGTAAATGTGTTTCTGGACGGGGAAGCGAAGCCGTAACCCTTGCATTACTAATCAAGTGCTCTATCACTGAGCCATCTTTGTAAAAGATGCATTTGAAAAACTTGCACATTACATTTTTTTTAAAATTCCAAACAATAAGAAAAATTAGATTTGACAGGTTTTGACAGGTTTCCGTCAGTAGAGATTTGGACTTTTACACGCTAACTAAACGCAAATTATTTTAAGGAAAAAGACCCAGGAAATGATGGAAAGTCTTTCTTTTCAGCCCCATGGATATTCTAAAGAGGTCTCACAGGTTTTCCTATGCTGCAGCATTTGGGACTCTTGCCCGTCTTTGCTCCGATATAGTGTTTGAAGCTAAATATGCATTCAACTACGACGGTCCCACATACTTGAAAGGTCTGTTGGTTTGTACATTAATATTCAGTATGTAATCTTTATATGAATTTAAACTGCAACTGTAAACTTTTGAAAAACGTGTTTTTCTTTAATTTTACACAGTTTCATATATCCGGGTTTTTAAGATACTTAGTCTTCTGGCATTTAAAGATTTAGGACCAAATAAGGAAAATGTAAAATTGAAAATTTTTCTAGATATTCTTGAAATTACAAAAAGTGCAGACTATATAATCTAGCGGATAAACCATGACCACATACATTATATCAACATTCATTTGTTATGATGGCACAAAATAACTCTCAAATTGTAATATTAAAGTTTCCGGGTTGATGGTTCATGCCCAACATGCTACATGTAAGTTGGACATGTAGTAAATTTTATTGAATAAGTTTCTTTAGACATATAGAAACAGATTTTGTACGTTTATTCCAATTCAAATATCCGGTAGAGAGTCTCTCAAGAATCTTTGTTTATGAGTTTAAAAATTACAATTTTGAAAAACAGAACACATTTTCTATAGTACCTGGAATAAGCTTTATGAGGCATAAACATGTATTTAATTTTAAAATTTATATCTACTTATACGGATTCTTGCATACCACAAAGGGCACTAAGTTTATCACATGCTTTATTTCTTACATACCACAAAGGGCACTAAGTTTATCACATGCTTAATTATGATATCTTCTTTACTACTGACAATTTACCGGACAAACTTTTTGTGTGATCATGATGAGCAATGGGCGGAAACAATTTTTTTTTTAAAAATCCATCTTCCTAGGACCCGACTGACTTGTGGGACTTACGCGTAGACGAACAGATATATCAAAATCTAAGGCAAATTGTATTCCTATTATATGTATGTATTTATCTGCAAATGAAACTAAGTTCCCCTCTGCAAAATACATGTATTTGATCTTTAGCTGGACAAGAAATAGGAGGCGCTCATACAGAATAACAGATCTTGCATAGCACCTAAGGCCAGAGCAATCTAACTAGTTCAGTTCAACATTTTAAGGACTTTAGAAAGAAAGAGGTATCGAAAGGGGAGGGGGCATTAATTATTTACAATTTATTAAATTGATGGAATGGCTATAACTCTGGCAAGCTCATTACTGTATAAAGAAACTAAAACGGATTTTACCATGCTTTTGTAGCAAGAAACATATTATAAGCTCGAATTTGAGTATGAAATGGTTGTTTACATTTAGAGGGTATATCAACACACTAATAATGTTACATTTAAGGTCCATAGAATTTTATTGTAAACATGTTAAAATTTTCTACAAACTCATCAATTTATGCACAACCCTAAGAATTAACCTGTGTGATAATAAAATGCAATACGAAGGATATTTTATGTTTCTTTCAGTGTTCATTGCACTTACCTCGATGTTAATATATGGTCTTGGTTACTATCCTTTGTTTGCCGGAATCACAGCAGAGAGTCCCATAGGATACTTAATTGCTACATTGTTTGCATGGACGTTCACAGCTAATTTTTTCGCCAACTCTTTCTGTGAACAGAATTTGGATGTACGTATTTGTTTGCGTGTATATATTTGAGAAAGAAAATCTTGATGCTGTCAGTCATTTCAAAAGGCACTCCTAAATTTGAAAATATTAAGGTACTTTTAAATAAGCCTTTTGAAACTGTTCTATGTTACTGAAAGTTATGTTACTTTATATTTGTTTCAGGTTTCCTATTTTATTCTGATTGTCATGTTGTTACCAGAAATCGTCTGCTACCTGTATCTTAGCTTCAGTCTTCCCGCCAGATTCGTCTTATCTATTGTTAAACCAAAGAAAAAAACCAAACTTGCTGTTGACTTTGAAAGCAGTGAAGATCTATATGAATCAATCCTAAAATCCTACCAAGGCAACCATGTTCGAAAATTGTTCAGAAAACCAGAGCCTCCTTCCCCGTTAGTTTATTTGAACATTTTACTTTTAAAAATACATGTAGTATCATAGATTTACGTATTTAATAGAAAATTTACGATTAATACGAAATATTAGAAGTATTGTCTTGAATCCCTCTACCTATTGACTTTTTAATACTTCGAAAAGTAGGATCTTGGCAAAGTATGTCACGTTTATTTATTAGGGATGGCAACGAATATTCGAACATTCGAATATTCATGCGATGAGCTGATATTCGAATATAAATTTAAGATTCAAATATTCGGTGTTTTTCAGATTTCATAAAAAGAAGTACTGTGATTAATAAATTTTGATTAGAACAGCGCTGGAATTATCCCTGTTTAATTTACTAGCGATCAATTTTTTCACTACTTTCTTATCTTATAAATCTACTAGATTACATTACAAAAATGCTTTATGTATAATACATAACGTACTTTCGTAGTTTTTATTAGTTAGATACGATCAGATCTAGAATCGAGGACAAAAATGAAATCTATAAATGTCTAAAAGGCGTGAAGAGCATACTTATCAAAATAAAATTAATTGATCATTGAATGAATGTCCGATAGAATTTATCTGTAATTAATATTGTAAAGGGCTTGATTTCAGAATAAATGTGTAAATTACTTAATTATCTCGGGTTGTACATAATCCTGAATTTTATATTCATTATTGGGAAATTAGTAAATTACCTAGGAAAATTGTCTATGGAAATATTTGCTTACATTGTATCAAAGATTATAATCTCTTATCAGGCAGATATAATTGTAATTCATTACAAGTATTGAAATCTGAACAGTCACCGTTATGACTATCTTGCCTTTTGTAAGACGACTGGTTCCTCAGTTGGAGCTACTATAAATACACGTTTCATTTGTTAAAATTATACTTTTCTACATTTAAATCAATTATTTATTTCAAACATTGACAAATATCAAATGGAATTTCTTATTGTACACCGACAAAAGTCTTCATACAATTTTACTTCCAATATAAGTATAGCTACGCTAAACCTTTCATGAGAGTAGGATGATGCATATTTAAAATAAAAGATTTATTTATTTTATCGAATATTCGAATATATGCGAATACGTTCATTGAATATTCGAATATGAATTATAGACAAAATTGACATCCCTATTATTTATATATATTTTGCTTGTAGAAATGAATGTTTAAAAGAGAAAAATATACAGTAAAGCAATGTTCTCCTATGAAAACATTTTTAAAGAAGAGTTTTATTTGTAAAGTTTACTTTTCTTTGAGTCGGACACAAGTTTTCTCCTCCTACACATAATCATTAAATTTTATTTTCCAATGCAGACCGCCTGAAGGGAAAAAGAACAAAATAATCTCTCTCCTGAAAACACTATCTCAGAAAATATTCTACAGACGTAAGAAAGGTAAATTTACTCTTGTTTGTTAATATAATTAGGTATTTTTACAGAACATTACAAATACAAACATTATTACTTTCACGAATAAAGTTTGTAAGTAACTGTAAAAGATAATGAAAAGATCGTAGTAAAAAGGATTAGAAAGTCAAAAGTTTAACATTTGAATGCTGGAGTTATCCTTTTTATACAGCCTTAACTTACATCTTAAAAGAAATTCCTATGTAAGTGTGAAAAATATTAGATTGGCATCAGTTCCCATAAAAGAAACAGTGTAAAATTTTATTTTGTTCAATAGATTATGTGGATATTGTTTCTGAATATGTTACATTGTGAAAGGAATGTATTGATATTTTTTGTCGGGACCTCGGTAACAAATATGTTGCACTCAAATTTTTATTTTGGGTATTTCTAATATTATATGATATTAATTTTACAGTCTCGTAAAAAGAACATACCAAATATTTTGTTCTTCCGATCTTTTAAGGTTAAAGCTCTTTCATGAACATTCTTGAGATGTTTTTTCTATCATCTCAAACTAAGTAGATTGTCCGTATCACATTACTATTATCGTCCTCAAGCAAATGTACTTGATGTGTCTAGTACCCTTTAGTTATTTCTGAAAGAAAATAATTTTTTTTTATTTTTCAGGATTCCGATATTCAGCTAGGATGATGTCAGTAATATCTGTAGGATTTGTATTACTCTATACAGTAAGTTAAGATTTATCAACTCAATTCAATAAATTTTATAAATTCTCTAGTTATTTCTTCACCACTTCTTTTCCTACATTGTCTGCCCGAGTTTCAAAGCATATTTGATTGATTTTTGATAGATTTATGTGTTAAATTTCTTTTATCCATAATAAGGGATAACTTTCATTTCTTTTTTCTTTGTTTTCTTTTTAGCGACCGTTAATGCTGATTGAACGTTTGCAAACTGAGTTTTGCCGGCGAGGCGTAAGCGGAGACGGTAAAACGGATGTTTGTGACCGTCAAATCAGCATTAACGGTTGCAAATAACAAATAAAAAGATAGTTATTCCCATTCTAATGCCATTTATGCATTTTATTTTATGTTTACCTCTTATTGTGTAATGTTTTGTGAAATGAAATATGTCATGAAGGGTTGTTTTTTGCGTCGTTCTTTATGACGTCACAATAAAAGGTTTTCACTCTCGTTTGTGCTTATTCTAGGAGGTTCGATCCAGAGCTTTTAAGCAGATTTTTGTCTGGACCTTTATTTCTAAAATTCTGCATCGTATTTAAGTTCTTGCATTAAATTTGGATTCTAGAATGCAAATTAAACTATACTCAATGAAAAAAAAAACGCGATTAAATTCCATTCCAATAGGATTAAGCCTGGAACTATATTTTTTGGCGGAAGGTTTATTCAAGCTGGTTGCACACAGAGCTATTTTGTGCAGTGAAATGTTTAATGCTGGTTATGAAATATCTATTTAATTAATTTTTTAATTTTATCATCATATTGTGTCCAATATAGTGAATTCTGAGAGTCAAGGAAAAAAATTGAGCCAGTTTTAAAGATATATACGGTATATAAACGCGATTTTTTATGTGAAACAAAATGATTAAATGATTTGAAAAACATGATGTAAAAAATAATTACTTTCCCCAAAGTTTTACTAAATAACTCGTTGTAATTACAAAACAATTGAGCAAGATCTGCAATTAAGAATTCAGCCTATTCATGAATATTGATGAGGGAAGTGCGTAAACAGTATATAAACACGCATGTCCGCGGGCGGGAAATCATAGACAACGAGATACGTTGCATTTTGACTACGATTTTGAAAAAAAGTTAATATCTGTCATTGCAGAGTAGATGGTTAATACTGATAAGTATTTTTAAGCATAAAACGTATGCCATCCATGTCAAAAGTTATTTTGTATACCCAACTGCCTACCTCGTTTTCTTGACGCCATTTTTGTTTATCAATCTAAAAGTAGCGACGGTGTCACATGATGTATGAATTTGAATTGAGGCATTACATTCCTAGTAGGATAATAAATAATTATGATTTGAGATCTTTATAATGCGTTCATTTCCAATTGTGTAATTTACAATATTTTCGTAACTTTATTTGGTAAACAAAATAAATAAATTTCCAACTTTATTTTTAACTGACGCAAGTTATAGCGTGTATATCTTTAACTTAAAAAACTTCAATGACGTCACCCATTGTTTTTAGTCAACGTATATTTTACCGATTCAACCATCACTAGTTGGATATTTTAAAGATCCAACTGGCCATCAGTTGGATATTCAAATATCCAACTGCCTATCTGTTGGATATTTAAATATCCAACTGTGCATACAAACATAATTAAGCAATGAACAAAAGAGATAAAAGAGTTAAAAATGTATTTCCAATGCACATAAAAAATAATTACTCCGAATTTGTCACACTATTATAAGTGATATCATATGCACACGGAATTAATCACTTCGCATTTTTCACACCATTAGAATCGTGTTAAAAATGTACTTCCAATGCTCACAAAATTTACAATTCCTCCGAATTTTGCACACTTTTAGACTCTTGTCGGCAATAAAATATCCAATACCTGTCCGATGGTAATTTTAACAAAATGTTTCCGGTCTTAAATTTTGAAAGCATCACTTTATGACACGCTTATAAATACATTTTCACCTTGAACCTTAAACCACATCATTTCCTGTTGCTGAACATTATTTTAAGGGTCCTTTATCAGCAAATCCCCTCAGTTTTTTTTCTAGGTTCATCTCTGTTCTCATACTTTTCCAGCGTACTCCCAAAACAATTTAATAAATCGACAGCCCATCTATTTTTTGGTCACCTTTTTTATTGCAGATCTTGATATGGAATATTTTTAAAGCAGATTCTGCATAACACCGACAATCTTTTCATCTGATTTAGCACTACTAGAAGTATTGTCCGAATGGAATTCCGTAAGATTCCAACACTTTTCCTCAACAAATCATCATCTTAAATGCAATGTTAGATTTCCAACCTTTTATCAAACAAAACTCTGTAGTTTTCTTCTGATTTCAGGTCAAAAGTATTCAAAACACTATCTGAACCTCTCTAAATTTATTTTGGATTTAAAACTATTCTTCATCTGATTTCATGACTGTTCAGTACAATGGAAAGGTTTGAAATGACATTAGCACCATGCAGTTGCAGGCTCAGTAGTCCATGAATAAAAGGGGTGTTCGATTAGGCTATTGAATTTGTCACTGTTGGATATCTGAATGGGCTAGATCCCATTGTATTACAGCAAGGTTGGATATATGAATGGCTAAATGTTTCTTTGGGGCCCAAAGTGGGGAAGTTTTTTAAGTAAGATAAATAACTCGATAGTGTTGAATAGTTTTGAGAAAACATCCCCTCCTCGGGCATTCGGCCCTCGGAGGGAATGTTTTCTCTAAACTATTCAACACCATCTCGTTATTTATCCATTACATAAAAGTAACTCTTTTTTTAGTAATATCTAAAAATTTATATCATAGACCCAAACTTTTGATTTTCTTTTCTGAAAATATAAGATAATTTTGACCAATCTGCTTAAATTCAGCAAAAGTTTAAGACTTTAAATTGAGTTTTTGCTTTTTAAATTTTTAATGCCAGAAAAATGATTTTTTTTTTTTTTTTGAGTGCAGAAAAGTCAAATATTTTATTATGCGAAGCAATTTAAAACTTTTTCTTTATTGTTACAACTTTAATGTGTCATTTTAAGATAGAATAATACATGTAGTGTCTTTTGTCCCATGATTTATTTAGATAAAAAAAATATAAGAGGGAAAACTTGGAAAACGTGATTTATGATAAGATACAATTTCAGTGCAAATGGTTATATTAAATGTACCGTGGCGCCAAAAAAGCATATTGACCCCCTTTTTTGTTTTCAATTTTAATTAAGCTATGTGTGTAAATACTAAAAAAGTCTTAAGACTTTAAACATCAGGATCCAACCCTGTAAACTACCCCAAACATCAGTGCAGTAGCCAATTAAAATGCATTATACAAAACAGTTGCATTAGAATTCTATCTTAGAGGCTTTTTTAAAATATTGTCTTTTTTGAATTTCAAAAAAGGTTTTTTTAGAGTTATTCCTTGGACTCTACCAAGTCTTCGAATTTTTGGAGGATGGATTGATTGCTCAATTTAATGTCATAGGATGGGATCCACAACCAGGAGAAACGGAGGGTGTAGGAATTATACGAGACGGATTATACTTTGCTTATTATTTCGTCATATCATTTGGAGGTGAGTAATATACCTTGCTTACATCCTTGCTAACATATTCCCTGAACAAAATTGTTTATAAATTATCAAAGCAAATCAGAAATAGTTGGATAAAATGTTAGTCTGTGTTTTCTATTTAATAATGATTTGACCTGTTGCTAAGGGGTGTGGTGGACAGTACTTTGTTAGTGTTCCAGTTGCAACATAATTTATGATTACCTATTTCTCGAGCTCCATACTTAGTATAAATATTTGTCATTATACATTTTCTTATATTACTGATACAAAATTGTTATATTATTTTTCTCTAACAAATCCAAAGCAAAGTTATTTCTCCTCCTTTATTAGTCCCCTACCGGTGAGACCGGAGGGGACTATAGGTTTCCTCTGAGTCTGTCCGTCTGTCTGTCTGTCAGTCTGTCCCACTTGGTTTTCCGCACTTTTCTTCTTGCAGAAATTGAGCTGATTTTGGTCTGTGACTTAACCTTGATGAGTTATAGATCAAGTTTGCATTTCGTCCCGCTTCATTGATTTTTGACGGAATTATGGCATTTTATAATTTTTAACGGGAACCAGATTACACTTGCCGGTAGGGGACTAGTATTGCTAATGCAATACTCTCAGTGCTTGTTATTACGAAAGCCTATTAGGATCAAACTACGGTAAAAAAAAAAATTAAAAAGCTTTATAACGCCTTTTCAAAAGGCGTTATAACGCGAAAAAAGGCGTAATAACGCCTTTTGAAAAGGCGTTATAACGCGGAAAAAGGCATAATAACGCAAATAAAGGCGTAATTATAGAGCCGCCTTTCCAAAAGGCGTTTTAACGCGAAAAAGGTGTTATTACGCCTTTCCATAAGGCGTTATAACGCCTTTTTTCGCGTTATAACGCCTTTTGAAAAGGCGTTATTTTTTTCTAAACGCTTGGAGATATTGAGCTGATTTTTGGTCTGTGACTTTACCTTGATGAGTTATAGACCAAGTTTGCATTTCGGTTCGCTTCATTGATTTTTGAAGGAATTATGACATTTTCATTTTTTAACGGGAACCAGATAACACTTGCCGGTAGGGGACTAGTATTGCTAATGCAATACTCTCAGAATACTTGTTTTGTACTTGTTTTTATAAATAAAAAATTAAAATAATGATGATTTGAATTTTGTTTTAGGTTGTTTCCTTGCATCTCTGACGGTTGCGTTTCTTATCAACACGGTCTTTCTGTTTCATTATTTGACATCTTATAGGTACTATATAGACACATTATTAATTGATGAAATAGAAATATGTTTTTTGCCCAACATATTGCTTTAAAAATTATCCTGTATAAAACTCAATTAGAAACTGAAATAAAAAAAACACAAAAAATTCTATTTGTTTAATGGAAATACAAAAACTGAGATATTACAATTCAAAAATATGTGTTTATTGTAGGAAGTATTTACTTTCGTTGTATAAAGGAAAACCTAAACATCTAACACCTAAAAGTGAAAAATCCAATGCAAGTCTTATGGTGGGTTTAATTCTGCTTTTTTAACTCTCCTTCTGTACACAATTCAAGTTATAAATCCGTATTAATGCTTCTTTTGCAAATATCTATTCTGACACTTACCATTTCTTTTATTATTACTTAGCTTTTCTTCCCAATTTCTAGCTTCTTTGTTTTCATGTTTTCAAAACAAAAGTCTATATTGAAAGCATTTCACTTCACATACTCACACTTATATAGAAAATGACCGAAACTTGTAATTTCAGGTTGGAAGCGTGCGGTATGCTGGTTATCAGGTGGGATACATAGGATGGGGTAGGTTGTTATGGAATAATTTTCCGTTAAATAGACTTCAGAGCAACAATATGTCAATTTTTTAAAAAAAATAGTACTGTGAATGAAATTGAAGTTTATTGAAAATAATTACAAAAATATGAGAAATGTAATAAAGCCACATATTAAAAATAAACTTTAAAGTCACTGTGTTATATGCAATCATATAAACTTTTTAATACAGACAACAACAGCACCCCCCCCCCCCCCCACCACCACCACAAAAAGTCCAATCTCGAGGACGCTGGTATATAATTTATCACTTTTTATTTTATTTTTCTTATATAATTTCAGGATTTTTCATCCAATTTCTGGTTCTCTTGCTCGTTTCAATTACAATAGCAACAATAATAACTATATGGGACCTTATTAGTGACTTCATTATATCATGGATCATGGCACTTTGGTAAGTAGTTACCAAACATGTGATTCTAGAGATGTTGCTCCAACAACATTATACCTGATTTTCTGTATGAAAAAGTGATAAAGTATGTTTTAAAAGGATGCCTTTGTACAAGATAAAAGCAAATTGGAAATTTCATTTAATTTGTGCTTTGGTTGATTGTCTTACAGGCCTGTGTTACTGACGTCATTGGTGCTAAACTTTGTGCAGCTTTTGCTATCTAAGTTCCTCTTCCTACAAGAAAATGGCAACATATTAGCTATGGAGAATAGGTATGATAGCGTAAATAGTATAACATTTATCTTTGTGAATGAAATGCTTCTCAGCGGGCAGTCATATTTGTATATCTGAATTTTTTTAATGAATATTTTGTGATATACACATACAAGAATAGGCATATACACAAAACAACATGAATGAAAGTTAAAATAAAAAAATAATTAGAGGGTATTTTAGTAAAAAAATACTTTTGCTTTTTAAGACCCAATAACTACGTACATGTATATTGCAATAAATCCTGATGAGCAACTCAAGATACACTATCAAATGATCTGCATAAAAAAACCAAAATCACAATTTCACATCAGAGCTGATTTTCTAAATGATTAGTTAGTAAGATAAAAAAAGATTTGGTACACAAACTTTACATGTTTGTATTTGTAGACGACTGTTCTTCATTTTTACCTACTTCATGTTCTTCTATAACGTCTTCATTGGTCTCATCTCCTGCTTAATGAGGATCATTAAGTCCATCATTCTAGGCGCCCTCTTCCTCCCACGTCTTGACCATAGCGTGCTGCCCAGAAAATTCCAGCAATTTGACCCAGGTAAAATTCACATTTGTTCCCGTAGCATAGAAAATACTGCATAGAAGGCACTGTGGTATTTCAGTGTGGCAACTTTCACATATCCGATTCTTTTATTTTCTTTTTCATTTTTCAAATTATATTTATTCTGCAGGGTTTGATGCATACTGTGGTTTTATGCATATTGAGAGTACACACACAAATCCGGTTGCTATGGTTTTCATCAGTATATTGCAAGCAGAATCACTGACGTCATTAAAAAGAAAGAAAATGAATGACATTGATGCGATACCTATGGGTAAGTCCCAATTCGTTGGTTCAATTGTTACAAAACTGAATTAAAGCATTTATCAAAATATGTGTAATCATATTTACATACACTGAATATGCTTTATATATATCTGAGCAAATCAATATATTAATGCAGTAGTCTTTATCTTAAGTGTCAAAAGTCAAATGTTTCATGGCTCTCTCATCAATGGAACGTACGTGTGATAATATTTGACGTACTTTCACCCACTGTATACAAATAATAAATAAATAATAAATATATAAAAACAAATTACAGATGCAGTCATTGCAGAAAAACCATAATCCGATTAAATGTAATATGTATTTTTCTCTACATTGTAGAAACTGCATTTTATTGTTTAAATAGACCTGAAAATATTAATAAGATATTCTTGCTGTATTATAATAGTGATTTCATGCTTTTATAGCTGCAATTTATTTCTATATAATGTAATTGATAAACTCGTCCAAGATTTATAAATGATAAACTCGTCCAAGATTTATAAATCATTTTCAATACTGTAGAACAAACCACATACATTTAAGAAGATGTTTTTCAATAACAGAACTGCATTTTCAAAATCATTGGCATTTGAAAACAAAATATGCTGAAAACTAAACTGAACGTTTAGCGGTATTTCACAATCGTGATCATTTAATTTGTTTGTCCTTTCTGTATGTTCGCTAAATGTCTGTCCGATTGTGTCAGCAGTTGCAATGACTTGCTATTTATGTAGTTGATACTTTACACACAGAAAATGAGAAAATCATTTTACGGATGATGACATAGGATTTTATAAATGAAACATAATATATTTCCGTAATAAATGCGACATTCTGACTTCAATCTCCCAAGTAAGTAAATAAAATTTCATTATGATAACCTTACCAAGAATGATGTTGATTTTGATATTTGCACTGGCGATTCAAAGACTTCAAATTTTGAACTGGTCACCCTACTTGGGTAACAAAACTCTCATGATTTGGACTTACATTTCGAAATTTATTTTATTTCTTGTTGACCATGGCATTGAACTTTGAGCTTGAATGAAGCTACCATACAAATACAAACTTATTTTATTCTCTAAATGTTAGTTACTACAACTCAGATTGTTGACTTTGTCCAACAGGTTAACTTTATTTTATCGTTTGATTTGTAGGGCATACTTCTTTTTATATTTTACTTTGCTTTATATACATGTTAATTTAGGAGCGATCTCAATTAAATTTTACTAGAGAAATATGACGTCTTAAACAAAAAGTACTGCAACTCTTAATTAATCAGGATATTTGTATAATCTGCATTTGTAAAATTAGAAAAGTTGTTCGAACTACAGATCCCAGCGCAGAACCTCATAAATCATCAATTGTTTATTTAAAAGTATGTCATGATTGTTTTATGTAAGCTTTTTCTTAAATATGTATACTAAAGATTTTTTTTTACAAGCAAGCAAAAGTGTTTTTTTTTAATTTTAAGTTTACAGTATTGCATATTTGTTAGACATTTTCATATCTCTGAAGTCATGAAATGGGTTACATATTGAAAAAATCCAAAAATTTTGTTTCATTCCTTTATATCTTAACTGCAGTAAAAGGTGAGTGCATTCTATATATAGATAACTTCTTCTGAACGTCTGTAGTTGGACTAGCTTCCTTCAAACTTGGAACAATGCAGTGACCGACTCATTTGGATCCTATCTCGTGAATGTACAACATTGTTTAGTTGCTAGAAAAATAGCAACATGTTAATTGAATGTTTGTTTTGTTTCGGAACTTCTCATCTCTGTCAGTTATACCTTAGAGTTAGTTATCACTGTGGAAAATATAGAAATTGTATTACAACAATAGTTGTGAAATGCATGCATGTATAATACCTATTACTTAGGGAAAATATAGATTAGTATCATTAATTATGTTATGCATGCAAGGTAGATTATATAATTATAGTAGTAGTAAATATGCATGTATATACTTATTGCTAGAATAACACTATCTGCAAGGCAATTCGAATTTATGAGTACGTTTTATTACGTTTTCACCAGTGAAATACTGTGATTTATTTATTGAATAAAAATGATATTCTCTCACAGTGTGAAAGGATACCATAATGATACTCTCACAGTGTGAAAGGATACAAAAGTAAATAAGTAAAAAAAATTTTTTGGCCTGAAATAAGATAAAGTTAGTAATTAAACCATCTTAATAGAGACTCAAACTGCATATTTCTTCACAAATATGTTGCTAAAATCCATGTGACAATGTTTTCAATCTCACAACTGCTAAGCAATGACGTCTCAACTGCTGAACTATGGCGTCACAGCCCATGACACTGTGTTTTAAAAGAAAAACAAAGGAAAAGGGAAAATCAAAGAAAATGTAATAATCAGAAAATTCCATGTTTTGTAATTGGATATGTAATTTATTTCACTCATGGGACAGTATTTTTTGACATTTTTACTCGTGCTTCGCTCTCGTGAAAATATAAAAAAAATCCTGTCCCACTCGTGGAATAAATTCAATATCCAACTACAAAACATTGAATATCCTCTATTTATTGTTGTTATTGTAATCGTTATCTGTACTGGGTGCATTTTATAGATCAAGGTGTTTAACAACTGATGTGTCACTATTTATTGAAACTTTCCATTTACCATTGATTTTATTTCATCTATGCCAAAAATGTAAGCCAACAAGACCAAAATGTTTGCAAAGAATTTATTTATCTTGGAACTGTAAGTCGTACGGAGGATTGTATACTTAATGGCTCTCTAGAAGAGCTCCGTTTATCGTATTTTTGGTGTACAATGCATACTACTCATTTACATATGGAATAAACAAGTTAGATTTAAGTAAAGGCTATACAATAAATTGTGACAAAATCCTTGAATTTTATAAAATAAATTGTAATTTAAACATAAACTTTAATAACTTCAGTCCAACAAGTTAGATTTAAGTAAAGGTCAAAAAAACATCACAGAATGGATGAAAAGTTAATTAATATTAATGTTATGATAATTAATTTTTTTTTAGCAATGTTTAGTTACTATTCCTGTTGTGACATCCCAAGATAGATAAGCTTCCTGGTAGCTTACAACGATAACCAGATTTGTTTATTCTTCCGGAAAAGCCTTATACCTAGGTCGCATTTAAGCCGATGGTAAGACGACCAAATTTTCTCGTATCGTCGGCTGAAAAACATGATCGGCCGACATTAGTATAGGGCGACGCGGAGCAGTCACATTAATTTCTAGAAATACTGATGACTTTAAAAGTTTAGATATTTATAAGTCGGTCAATCGTCGCCCGATCATCGAGCAATGAGCCACAGTTTGATTTTCATTTACGAAAACCCAATACGACCGACTTAACAACCGGTCTGCGGATGGTCGGATGATGATCCAGGTTTGGTCGACGGACTATTCAAGGACTGTTTTAATTGAAGAAATCGGCCACCAAGGCAGAAAATATTATAACGGCTTGACGGACACAAACTTGGTCGGCCGACAAAAAAAGGGTCAAAATCGGGCAAGATTTGCCGACTGGCGTCCGAAGAATCAAATTTTTGCCTAAAAATCCGTTGGTCGTATTTGGAAATGTGACTGGGGTTTTACTCTTGAAAGGAGTTTTACTCTTGACCATCGGCTTATCCTGAAAGGATTATAGGTCAATGCACTCTATCATAAGTACACTGTAAATAGTTTATTAATTTTGTTTTCATAATTAAATAGTTATCTCAAACCCTGTAGGTTTACAAAAAGCTTTTTTAGATTGAATTTTCAGATCAAAATCCATTTATGATGTAACATTCATATGTATTTTCTTCTTTATAGACGAAAAAGAGGAAATGATACAGAAAAAACGACGAAAGGCGAGGTGGAAGTGGCTACTTGCTTTCACCCTGGTAAATAACCCCGAACTCTCGCTACAACGAAGACTCACTCTGGCAAAAGAGCGCAACGAAAATGTCAAGGAAATTCTTTTCTCTTCGTATGCGGTACCTATTGAGCACGGAAGTATTGACACTAAATTTTAAAAGAAATGAAAAGAAAAAGAAGTTTACATATATATATATATATATATATATATATATATATATATATATATATATATATATATATATATATATATAATCAATTGTTTTACTGCTTAGTCTATTTGCAAGTCATACGGGATGTATAATTTTATGCATTGTGGCCTTGTTTGTATTAAAAAATCGATTCTCATTTTAGAAAAAAAAATGCACTAATAATTTACTTATTTCTTAAATGTTTATAAATGCGTAATCAGTAGGTTGTGATTTTTATGAAAAAGGCGTTTGCAATTGTTTCAGAACATTTTTTTTTTTATTTTATTGTTTATTTTTGTGGAAAACGAGAAATTTCTACACTTATTTTTGTGGTTATTTTATTTCAAAGTATTGTGTTTTACTTGTGTGTACATCTCTTTATTATTTCTTGTGAAATCCAATGATTTATACATCATGAAATACTTTAATCTTTAATTTTAAGAAATAGATCTGATTGACTTATTACAGAGCTTGTCCATGTCAGAAAACATATATTTACTCTGATATAATAGATATACATATAACTGTGATAGAAATTAGACAATTTGTAAATTAACTTTTTTTTTAAATTTTTTATATATATATTTATTATGTGTATTTAATTGGCCAATAAATATATTTTAAATTTTACGTTGATCAATCGTTTCTAAAGTAGGATGAGTTAGAGAATTATATTTAGTAAGTAGTGATTAACAAATTAATATTCATAAAAGTTTATCCTCAAAACTTTTTGTGTTATACTTTATGTTGTTCTGTTATGTGATCTGAGTCATATATTACAAGCAATTCCCAGTAATCGTCTTGTGCTATGCACTGTTCGACATTTGTGGATATCCCTTCATCCCTTGTAAAAATCATTTTCATTTAATTTAAGCTTTACAGTTACAGTTATATATCCCAGTGAGCTTGAAATAAAAGATATCACAGAGTCTGACACATCTGTTTCATATTTCGATATTTTACTAGAAAAAGACGTCAATGGTAATCTAACAACAAAGCTTTATTATTAACGTGATGACTTTAACTTTTCAATCAACTTCCCTTACTTATGCAGCAATATACCCTTATCACCTGCATATAGGGTGTATACCTCCCAGTTGATTCTATACGCAAGAACATGCTCTACATATGAACAATTTCTAATACGAGATAAGTTATTGACAAACAAGTTGATGAAACAAGAATATCAACAGTCTCCTTTAAAGTCATTATTTCGTAAGTTCTATTGTCGATACAATGACCTTGTCAGCAAATACAATCTAACATTAAGTAATATGGTGACTGACATTTTTCATACTAATTTTTAGACCATTTTACACACTGAATTGTCGAATGATTTTTCCGTTATTTTCCGAACATGACAAGAAGCACACGGCGGGTTTGACCGGTCGGCAGATGATGCTCACTCCTCCATGGCATCTGATCCCACCTCTAATGTTTTTGGAGGTTGGTGTTCACTCTGCTTCCGATTTGTATTGTTTTAATGGAGTTTGAGCTTGAATACTGTTCGTTATCTCCATATTTCATTACAGGGAAACAAAATATTAGAATTTTGCAGTCCATGTCATCCATTGTCTCTGGGATGAATCCAAAATAGGAGGAAAAATGTCAAAGTCTGGGGCCAATGTATGACAACAATAATAGAGACAACCGACCTTTGAAGTTTGGAAAATCTGAAGCGTATCAAAACCTTTATGCAACGAAGACCATACCTTTTGTCTCCCACTTTCGTGAAAGCGCATGGACATCAAGTCTCGTTCGTCTGTCAGTCCGTCGTCTGTATGACTGTCACAAAATCTTTTAACCTTTGCCATAGCTTTAATGTAAAAAAAAACTAGGACTCTATATGACATTGAAGTTTGACCTATTTTCTCCCTTATTTTAAAACTGGCAATAAATTTTGTACCTGAAGAGACAGAGCTTTCATTTTTATGTCCCTGGATCGAAAGATCCCGGGGTTATATTGTTTTTGTCCTGTCTGTTTGTTTGTCTGTTTGTCTGTCTGTCTGTTGTCAACTTTAACCTTGCCCATAACTTTTGATTGGTTGGAGCTATGACTTTAATATTTCACATGTGTATTCCTTGTGACAAGACCTTTCTTTGGGTAACATCACATTTGACCTTTTGATCTTGACCTTGGAGTTTGACCCACTTTTGCAAAATTTTATGAAACTTTAACCTTGGCCATAACTTCTGAAAAGTTGGTGCTTGGGGTTTCAATCTTCACATGTGTAATCTTTGTGACAAGGCCTTCCTTTGGATACAAACAACTTTGACCTTTTGACCTTGACCTTGGAGTTTGACCTACTTTTGAAAAACTTTAACCTTGGCCATAACTTTTGAACGGTTGGTGCTTGGGGTTTCAAACTTCACATATGTAATCCTTGTGACATCACTTCCTTTGGATACCAAGCACTTTGACCCTTTGACCTTGTCAAAGGAGTTTGACCTACTTTTGAAAAACTTTAACCTTAGCAATAATTTTTGAATTGTTGGAGCTAGGGCTTTCATACTTCACATATGTAACCCTTGTGACAAGACCTTTCTTTAGATATCAACCACTTTGACCCTTTGACCTTGACATAGGAGTTTGACCTACTTTCGAAAAACTTTAACCTTGGCCATAACCTTTGAATGGTTGGTGCTAGGGCTTTCATACTTTACATATGTAATCCTTGTGACAAGACCTTCCTTTGGATACCAACAACTTTGACCTTGACCTTGATGTTTTACTTACTTTTAAAAAACTTTAACCTTCGCCATAACTTTTGAACAGTTGCAGCTAGGGCTTTCAAATTTAACATTTTTTATCTTTTGGCCTGGATTTTTTTATACTTGCATTTGAGAAACTTTAACCTTCGCCATAAGCTGCCATACGGGGGCATCAGTGTTTCACAAACACATCTTGTTTAACATATGCATTACCTGTGACAATAATCTTTCCAATAGATAATGATTTTTTTTTTACTCATGACATTGACCTTGAATTTTTTTTCTTCGGAAATTCTAACGTTGGCCGTAGATTTTGCACATGACAAGACAGGGATTTCATATTTTTTTTTACAATGTGCATTACTTGTAACATATTTCGCAATGTATTTTGATTTTTGGGCTCATGACCTACACCAGTTTTACTTTCAAGAACCTGAATATTGGCCGTACCTTTTGCACCAGAACATATTGCTTAAAAATATATAACATTGTTCTGTATGATGACAAACAAACCAGGCCAGACAAGATTGTGGCAATATGCAACAGGTCAGTGCAGCCCAATCAATTAGTTTATTTGTTTGTTTGTTTATTTGTTTATCGTCCCTTTCGAGAATGTTTCACTCATATTGAGACGCTACCACTTACCGGTAGAGGGCTGTAAATTTATACTACCTATACCTAAACCTATACTCGCCACCTCAGGGCCACTGAGGGATATTTTTCATGCCAGCACCTTCTGCGACACGGGAACTTGATTTATACGGTCTCATCCGAAGGACCGGTCTTCACGTTCCGCAGTGGGATTCGAACTCGAGACAGAAATATCAACTCTTTACCCTGCGACTCTAGAGCAAACGCTCTAACCATTGCGCCACGAGGGCGACCCAAATCAATTAGACTTTGGAAGCGGGAAACCACAATTCTCTGAATTTGCTTGTTTAAACTTAACATCAAAATATCTTGTAAATATAACTAGGCGTCTGTGTAGAATACTCGAATCTATCGAAATTTTCATTCACAGACTCGTCACTGTTTCGAGTGCTAGATTATTATTCTCACCAATGCTTTTGACCTGTCACTACAATGATTCAAGGTCATTAGTCAAAATTAAAGCCAGGAGGGAGAGAATGAAATTATTTAAAGGCAATAAACATATAGTAATAAAAATAAAAAAAACTTAAATTATTTAAAGGCAATAAACATAAAATAAACAAAGAATTCTAGTACACGAATGGAGATCACTTTTGAAAAAAAAAATCATTGCTAACAAAGAGAGAGTTTTATACATATGTAGCCTTATAGACTCGGTTTTCATTCATTTTAACAAGATTACTGGTTAAAAATATTTTTATACCTCCCGCTTGAAAAACAGGGGTATGTAGTGATGGAGGTGTCTGTCTGTACGTATGCATGTCTGTAACACTTGAAGGGACCTATCTCTAATACATAACTCATCCTATATCACTGAATAAAATAAAATGGGATTTTCACAGAATCTTTATCACAGAGTGCCATTGAGCTCGTTCTATTTTACATTTCGATCGGACAAACATTTGGAATTTCTAACATAAACATTACCATTCTTTCTGTTACACTGAGGGTACCCATCTCTTATCCATAACTCCTCTTATGCCACTGAATAAAATGTGATGAGACTTTCACAGAATCTTTATTACGAAGTGTTTGGTCGCGCGCGTGGCGCAGTGGTTAGAGCGTCTGCTCTAGAGTCGCGGCGTAAGGAGTTGATCCTTAGGTCGCGGGTTCGAATCCCACTGTGGGACATGGAGACCGATTCTTCGGATGAGACCGTATAAACCGAGGTCCCGTGTCACAGTAGGTGCTGGCACGAAAAAGATCCTCACTGCTGAATGGCTATAAGTGCCGAGTATAGGACAAAATTTGCAGCTCTCCACCGGCAAGTGGTGGCGTCTCCATATGAGTGAAAAATTCTCGAGAGGGACGTTAAACAATATACAAACAAACGAAGTGTTTGTGGACATCCTATTTTACATTTCGATCGGACAGATATTACATGTAAGGGTTTTCCATCGCAAAACGTGGGCACTGCCATTCTTTCTAAAATATTGGGTACCAATCTCTCACCGCAACTCCTCGTAAACCACTGAATAAAATTTAATGAGACTTTCACAGAAGCTTTATTATACAGTGTCATTTTATGCCTCCTCTTTTACAGGTAGTTTTGGGTTTTCCATAGCAAAACATAGACGCTGTCATTTGTTCTGTATTATTGAAGGGAGGGGGGTAACCCATCTCTTATCAGCAACTTCCTATACCACTGAATAAAATTTAATGAGACTTTCACATAATCTTTATTACATAGCGTCATTTGCACCTCCTAATTTACATTTCGATCAGACAAATATTTGAGGTTTCCCAGTTCAAAAAATGGACTTTGTAATTATACTCATATGGGAGCGGGAGTATCATTTTGTGAGTTCAGTGCTAACAGTAACTTTAGTTTAATAAAAGTATCACTTTGTTCCAGAAGAACATGACAATTACCGTATCTGGATATGGCAAAAAAGGCTTATGTTTTCTATGTTTCATTTCATAACTTGTGTATTTTATAGAATATTTATGATAGAGGTTTCAATAGAAAGTAATAACGATTATTGCTTGTAAGGCAGAGAAAATTGAAAGAATAAACTGGAGAATCATGTGTTTAAGATTATCTCCCCTTTTTTCTGAAAAAATACATGTATTTGAAAATAACTGAATTTAATTCTTGCGGTTTCACTTGATAAAATGTACCTCTTTTGATAAAATAGTTGAGTATTCGAAGTCAGTTTGCACCTGAAATTCTTTTACCCTGTACAGTGTTTCTTTAAAAACTCTCCTCATTATTTGTAATTGTTCAAAGTATTCAAAATATCAGTGGAATCAAAATGTAATATGCAAAAAAGGGACGTTTAACGCTCCCATTTGCAGTTGAAGCTTCTTTTCCAGGATGAACATGTACAAATGACACTTTTGTGATGGAACTGACGAAACATTTTGATATGGAAGACATCAAGTATAGATATTATCTTTATGAAGGAGATATAGTTAGATGTCCACAGGACAATACCATCATCCATGACATTTTTTGTATAAAAGAATTTAAGAAGAAAAGTCCTTAATGTGGTCTTTAACTATCATCAACTCCTTATCTATGCTAATATCAGATAGGTCCATGCATATGACATGGACTAAATCAGATATTCACTACATGTCTATGAAATTATATCAACTTGATAAAATATGGACATATTCTTCGCAAGATAGTTTTACAACACCCCCATACATTCTACGCACAACTTTGACTCCCTACTAGGGCCTCGAGGAGCCTTTATGAACTGACACACAACCAGATGACTAGACAGACAGACAGATAGACAGACAGACCAATGTTGAAAATATTTAAGACCTTTAACTTAGACTGTATTATTAATGTTTATTCCCATAGCCCTCGTATGTACTTTCGTAAACCACTCAGGCGGACCAAATTCAAATAATCTTCTTAACCTTTTTACAATGATCAAATTTCAATATTTAAAACGAATACAGAAGCATTGGTCTTAATGCCTTAATCTGCATATCGTATCAATGTATGATGTGATCCTAACTTTTGGGTGTGTTTTATGTTTGACACGGTCAAACAAATTGAGTAAATTTGTCGATTAAAATTGCTCGTTTATATTCTACAAATATTATTGACTAAGACTGAGAGAACGTCAGGAACTACATTCCAATAGTAAGTATATTATCTCAATATCAACTTTGATATATTATCAAATTTCAATCTGAGTGCAAAGAAATAAATTTGTTTAAAGTGAAATAATATTACATTATTATTCGTTTTTTCTAAAAGAATTTTTCTTTTTCAAGATATTAAATGACCTAAATATTTTGAAAAAGAAATTTCTTGACAATTGAAATGGTGTAATTTAAATCTGAATTAACAGAAAATATTCTTGCCATGCCTGACACCTCAAACATTGTTGTAATTAGATCCACTTGCGTCAGTCACCAGTGTTTTCAAACAACTAAATATGCATGTGTGGATGTTGTGAATCTTTAAGTTATTGAGAAAGAAAAATGTATTTAAAGTACCAAGCTATTACATATTTCAGTTTTTACAGTCAACAAAATTAGGGTATAAACTTTTCGAAATGAAGTGCAAGACTCTGATATATATGGTTGTCTGGTTGCAGAAAATCGCCATCTCATCAATATTGATGGTGAATTTTGACATCATGTATAATTATTGATTTTACTGATTATTATTGATTAAATTGTGAATTTTGTTTTCGTCATTTCAATAAATGACAATTTTCAATTCAGTAAAACTTGTATCTTCAATCAACCATCAAACAGGGCATATCATACAAAAATTGTCAATTAATCTGTTTTCCTAGTTGCAGAAAGCCGCCATGGCATCAATGATATCCCCTTTAGGGGATCTGCTGGTGGCTTTTGCGAGTATCGAAGTAGGAACCAATTTTACTTACATATCTTATGTGTAAGTATATATTATTATATCAGTTGTTATCTATGAGGTATGTGATTCATTTTGTTTTTCAGTGTGTTTCGCCCGAGATAAACAAAGGTATTTGATAAAAATAAACAAGTATATCAAAGACTTTACCACTAGTTGAACTTTTCTGGTGATTTTCAGTTTGCCTCTTTCATAACTTTAAATATATCCCGCTTTTTAGGGAAGAATGTCCGGTGCTTTATTCCCATCAAGAATTCAGGCTATCTTTACTACTTCCAGCGGTAATTGTCCTTTTCACTTTTTACAGAAAAGAAATAATCAAAATTCAGAATTATCGATTATATTCTGATAAAATAGAATTTTCTTTCAACTACAATGTTATCAATTATGACACTCTTGCAGTTCAAATGAATTACAGATGATTGAAGATTAACATGTTTTGTAAACCTGACATAAATATGCCAATGTTATACAGAATTTATCAATTCCAGGCCATTGCTACATTAGTGTTGGCATTTTTGACACATAGAACTAAGCAAAAACTGCACGTGTTAAATGGACGACCAGGACTTATTTTGTAAGTAAATCAGACAACAAATGAATAACTTGGGGAATTTGTTGTTATTTTGTCGGCATACCGATATTTATCCTCTTTTTAGACAATGTGTGAATGATGCTGTTTTAATAAAGTGCATATTTTCAAACGTACAAATGACACATATGGCAGCAAGTTGGAATTCCAAAACTGATTTAATAAAATCTCTTCTTTTCAGCCCAATGGACATTCTCAAAAGGTCTCACAGGTTTTCCTATGCTGCAGCATTTGGGACTCTTGCACGTCTCTGTTCTGATATTGTATTCGATGCTAAATATGCATTCAACTATAATGGTCCGATATACCTTAAAGGTTTGTTGTGAAAAAAAATTAAATGAACATTTTTTTGGGAAATACTTGTTTTTATATTTTTGTATCAAATAATGGTCTTTTCTAAACATTTTGCAACATATATTGGGTACTGGAATTTGGGGCATTAGCATTCAAAAGGGTTATGGTGCTAAAGGGTTATCTTGCTGACTTACCCATGTTCGTTCACTTTAAGATCTAATTTTCTTTTCCTTCTTTCTGTTTTGGATGGCTACCTGGTATCCATCCGAAAATGAAATGAAAATTAAAGCAGAGGATGCTCACTCCTCCTTGGCACCTGATCCCACTTCTGATGTTTTGGAGGCCCATGTTTGCTCTCCTACTATTTTGTAATGTTTAATGGACTTTTGAGCTTAAATACTGTTCGTTATCTCCATATAGTTCATTAGTCCAAGTTAAATCATGTCCCGGGCTGGCAATTCCAAAAAAATGCTTCATAACTATTATTAATACAAAGCATACTTACGTGTTGAATTCTGCCAAAGTCATGAAACAAAGTTAACTTAGATCATTGGAAGGTGAATTATGAAATCCTTGCAGAGCTTAAACTCCATATGAACAAATGGTTAGAAGTTGTCTTAGCAATAATGAGTTGCCAAATCTGAATTATGTATTTTTAAATTAGATGTTAGTGTCTAGAAAAGAGATGATATTCTGGGAAAGGACATGATATTAGATATACAATTTGGTTTTGAACTTTACGTAAAAGTAGTTTAGGTACAGAAATGTTAAAATTCTCATGTGCAAATTTAGTAAACATTCCGTTTATACTTAAGTAATGTACCTATGTTTACTTATGGTATATGTATAAATTCTAATCAAATTTAATTACTTATTTTTTGCTTTTTGTCTTTTTAAATCTGTGGTATAGAAAACATTATACAGTATTTTTCTTTTTTCAGTGTTTGTTGCACTTACCTCGATGTTCATATATGGTCTTGGCTACTATCCCTTGTTTGCCGGAATCACTGCAGAGAGTCCTGTGGGATATTTTATTGCTACATTGTTTGCATGGATTTTCACAGTTGATTTTTTCATCACTTCCTTTTGTAAACAACCATTCAACGTAAGTACTCTTTATTTTAGAAAGAAACTCCAAATAAATGTATATGGGGAAATAAATATTTTTGTCTTAGATATATAAGATGCAAGCAAACAACTGATTACGTATGTATAATAAAGTTATTTGCCTTAAATAATAAAAGTCAATGTTATTTTCTAATACATGTACTTTTAGACATTTAAATTTCCTTTTCAGATTTCCTATTTGGTCCTTATTATCGAGCTGCTGCCGGAAATTATCTGCTATTTGTACCTTACCTTTAGTCTACCCGCCAGATTTATCCTATCCATTGTAAAACCTAAGAAAAAGCTAAAACTTGCTGTAGACTTTGAGAGCAGTGATGATCTGTATGAATCAATTAGGAAATCATACCAGGGCAGTCACGTTAGGAAACTGTTCACTAAACAAGACCCTCCTCCACCGTGAGTTTTACTTATTATTATTTTTTTTTTGTATTAATGTACCGGTATTTCATGTGAATTTAACCGGCTACATTTCAGGTGTCTAGGTAGAATTTTTTTCTCGATTTTATAATGTTAATGGATATCAATTTTCTCTTTGAAAAGCAATGTTTTCTTTAATATAACATATCGGATTGAAAGAAATCCTTCCATACGTTCAGTATAAAGTAACTAGTTACTTTAAAAAAAAAATCTTATTTTTCAATTTAGACCCCCTGAAGATATGAAGAATAAAATTATTTTTCGTCTGAAATATCTATCCGAAAAAATATTCTACAGAAGGGAGAGAGGTGAGCATATATAGTAAAAATATATGTTGTCAAAATAATGTTTTTCAAACATTTTACAGTTTTTTGGTTAGCATAAAATAAATTCCTAATTATTTGTGATTCAATCATTTTCATGTATTCAAAATTGGTATTACTGTATTTTTTGTTTTCCTGAAAATAAATACTTAAAAAAAAATCTTTTTCAGGATTCAAGTACTCAGCCAGAATGATTTCTTTAATGGCTGTAGGATTTGTGCTCTTGTATAAGGTGATTTTTTTACTGTATACAGGGTTATTTTTACCACGTGTTATTTTCACCCTTTCACACTTGCACACAATTTTGCCCCGTTTTAAATTCGCTTAGTCACAGTTCTGCTTAAGGAATTATACTGTTTTCTTTGAATTCGTCCCATTTTAAATTCGCCCACTTGTGCCTAGGGCGAAAAGGGCGATAATAAAACGGAGGCAAAAATTTCCCTGTATGCAATATTTCATCAGCTTAAAAACTAGCCAGATGTTCACATGCCTTTATCGAAATTCAAGGTTTACTTCCTTTATTAATTTGTATTATATAATGTAATGTAGCATTTACTATATTGTATTCGGAATATTGTAACCCTTTTCAATATAAAAGCCATTCATTTACAAAAATCTCTGTAAATTATTTTAAGTACATTATCTTGGTTTATTGGTTTCAAATCTTGAAATGTATTTAAAATGCTTTATTCTATAGTTAGTAGCTTACCTTACTTCGTAAAATCCGTTATTTCTTTCAATTTGCGGCCCTAGTTTATTGATATATTTGCAAATATGAAGATTGTATATATCGAGCAAGATGCAACAATTCAAATATATGAAACTATAATTAATTTTCTTTGGCATTTTTATTAGTTTTTTTTTTATTTTCAGGTAATTCAGTTATGCTCACATTACTTGAGATTTTCTTAATAAAAAAATGTATGCATTATTTTCACTTAGATTTCTCTAGAGTCATTAGTTGTAGTCTACGAGATCTTCGATTACTTAGAGAACGGTTTGATCGCACAATTTGAATCTATTGGATGGACCGCCCAACCTGGAGAAGCAGCTTCAATAGAAACAATAAGAGAGGGATTGTACATCGCTTATTACTTTGTCAGATCTTTCAGAGGTGAGTCACTTTAAGCTGAAATAAGACTAGTGACATACCAATACTTAATTAAGCATATTTCTGTGTTAGATAAATATACTCATTAAACATATGGAGGAAACTATATTTTCTGAAGACTGAATATATTTACATGCTAATTAAGCACAATTGTGACTTACAAAACGAGCAATCAGTAAATGAATTGATTACGAGTTACTACAAAATTTTTATGCCTGGAAAAGACCCAAATTTCTACTTTCTCTCTGGAAAACAGCACTATTTATTCATGCATTTCACAAAATACAAAGCCCACATCATTTTCTACAATTTCCATGCTCATTTTATAAACAATTGTGTTATAAACGTAGGATTTTAGTTTTATCCATACTATTATATTTACATTCAGTGTAATTTTTTTATGAAATTAATTGGAAACCTACAACATTCAATACCCTATAATACACGAGAAACCTTGTCACTGCGCGGTAGAATACACGGTAGGAACTATATGCATTTTCAATACTCTAGGAACACTCGAATGTATATTGTTTAGCCAAATTTAATTAAAAACAATTACCCAATTAATTTATTCTAAAATTGTAACAATTGTACTTTTAAAATTATTTTTTATTTTTTCCCTTGCAATATTTATTTGCGTTATTTAATTTTCCAAAGTCACAACGGCTTTTACGTGTATTAAGAACACCAGTTCTGAGAGGCGCTAAATTCATATTAAAGATAAATGAATTTAGCAATTAATAAGAGGAAAATTAGAAAACGTAAATATAAGCATTGAATTCTTATTTTTGGATGTCGTCGGTCCTATAATAGCATCTGTCCGTGCCGACAAAGTATATCATACCCCGTGGTATTCAATTTGTCGGATCGGCCAGGTGCTGTTATATATAGGACCAATGACATAAAAAAATAAGAATTCAATGCTTAACTGAATACAACTTTCACCTGGATTTTATGGCCCAAGACAACAGACACCGAGGTGTCCAAACATAGTATCACGTGTTAGCCATTTTAAAGTTTAAAATGTAGAGATTGTCTGCAAAATTCAGCTCTTTCAATTGGGATTGTTTTGTACACGTGATTAATTCGTACCCGTAAAAAACCTGTGTTGAAAAGTTGGATAAACAGTAGCGCAGTTCAATTTATTGGGGGTTTTTTCTGTTTCAGGTTGTGCAATATCCTCTCTGTCAGTTGCTTTCCTCATTAACTTCGTTTTTCTGTTTCATTATTTGACGTCTTACAGGTAATATTCTTACTTGTTGCTGACTATCTTCATAGTTTTCATAAATTAATTAAGGAATGATTTTAATGGCTACCCAATTTATACGGTATAAACTTTGGTTGGGACAGTTTACATTTTATAAACCGCGAAGCGGTATTTAAAAAAGCGCAACACAGTTTATGATATTAAGTGTTTTTTTTTAATCAAAACAACCATGGAGCATTACAACCATAATTAAATTATTAGAATATATATAAGTAATAAGGAATAAATATCTCCACATGTTTGTTGTATGCATTCTTCCTTTCCTAAGGATCTTGTGCATAAAAGATGTGCTGAAAATCATGGCGATTTTTTAGTTCAGAAGATTTCTATTTATTTTGTAGACAAAATTTACTTTCATTATATAAAGGGCAATCCAGGCATCTTACACCAAGGACTGAAAAATCCAATGCAAGCCTCATGGTGGGTGCCACACACACACACACACTCTCTCTCTCTCTTTTGAGAAAAACTTACTGGAAATACTGAAGTAATAAATTTTATTGCATTCATCTTTGAGAAAAGAAACTTTCATCAAGTGTTTTTTCCCTTTTATCCTTTCACCACAAGAAATGGAGAAAAATGCTTGATTGATATATGAAATAGCATATACTATAATTAAACACCATCACGCGAACTTTTTCTTCTAATGAAATAAATTAATTTCAGGTTGGAAGCATGCGTTATGCTGGTTATCAAGTAGGATATATTGCATGGGGTAGGTTGATCAGGTAAATGTATCAGAAAACTGATTCATTTGACATGAAATTGTCTTCATCGTGAAAAATTGGGTAGACTAAATACACTGATTTGAAAATGAACAGCTTATTGGTAAAGATGATAATTTTTTTTAATCCAAACTTTTGCTTAGTTTTCAAACTTAATTGAGACATACGTGTATTCCTGCATGTATGATAAGCATGTTTGGAATAATATGTCAGTGCAGTGAATTACTTTGTAAAATTTCTTTAAAAGGATTTTTCATCCAGCTGCTCTTGCTTTTGATTGTGTCTGTTGGAATTGCTACAGTAATAACTATATGGGATATCCTTGGTGACTTCCTTGTATCACAGATTATGAGAGTTTGGTACGTACATGTATAGTCCAAACATACAGGTCCTTGTCGTTTCGTAAATTTACCCAGGCATTAATTAATTTGTCAAATGTTAAAAAAATACACTTAGAATATTTCTTTATGTACTTAAAAGGTTTTTAGAGGCTTTATTCGAAGAGAAAATATTTAAAAATGTGCTTTATGTTAATTTTCCAGGCCAGTGTTACTGACGTCGGTGCTGTTAAACATCGTGCAACTGTTGTTATCCAAGTTCTTATTTCTACAGGAAAATGGCAATATATTAGCTATGGATAATAGGTACCTCAAAGACAAAAACTAATTGCCGCTACTCGTCTTTCATTGCAAAAGTCTATACATATACATTTATTGAATTTCGTGCGACTGTACAAATTACATTTTAATTTGCAAGAAATACAATGTTTGTAATAATTAATGAACATTATATACATGATAATTTGCACAAAATAACATACAGTGTATATGATGAACAAAACTTTCTGAAAAAAAACAACCTTTTTTTTGCAGACGGCTGTTCTTCGTTGTTACCTATTTTCTGTTCTTCTACAACATCTTCATTGGTATCTTCTCCTGTCTTATGAGAATTCTGAAGTCCATAATTCTAGGTTCACTTTTCCTTCCACGTCTAGACCATAGCGTGCTACCCAGAAAATTCCAACAATTTGACCCGGGTAAGAAAATTTCAGCAGCTAGACCCTGATAATGGCATCCTTATCCATTAATATGTCAGTATTGAAATTGTGTCTTATTTACTGTATCTATGTTACTTCTAATTTATACACAGTTGCCCGCGTTGTACAGTGGGTAGAGCGTTTGCTCTAGAGTCGCGGAGTAAGTAGTTGATCTTTATGTCGCGGGTTCGACAGTAGGTGCTGGCACAAAAAGATCCCTCACTGCTCAATTGTCCTAAGTGCCGAGTATAGGTCTAAAATGGTGGCGTACCAATATGAGTGAATATTTCTCGAAATTGACGTTACACAAATAAACAAACAAAAATATGCGTATGTTGATGCAATTTACCAATCAGCGTGCCTTATTTTACTGATATTTTAGAGTATTGAAAAGATATTTTAGAATTTGTTACTTTTAAATGTGTTTCTAGGACCTCTTGAAAAGTTAATAAAACCCATCAATACATGTAGTTATTATTCTTATATTTGCATATTATTTTCTTATATGCAGGTTTTGATGCTTATTGTGGTTTTATTCATGTGGAAAGTACACACACAAACCCTGTTGCTATGGTTTTCATTAGCATTTTGCAAGCAGAATCATTGACAACGCTGAAAAGAAGTAAACTAAATGCAGTTGACTGTACCCCGATTGGTAAGTCGAGTATATTTGAAATAATAATCTGGGACAAATTGAGCAAATTGCATCAATTGTACGGATATTTTACATTTTTGTCTTCAATTAATTGCCTCCAAGATAATTCATGAATAGCAAGATTCAATATAATTAAAAGGGGTATATTACATTAAAAACATAATTTCAAGAGTTACAGCTACAATCTTTTTCACCTCTTTTTCTCTTGTCAACTCAGAGTAAGTTATGAGTGTTCATTTAATTATATTTTTTCACTTTCAGAAATAGGTATGCTGTCCAAAGTATGTTAAGGAGCATCACAGAGTATTTAAAATATATTTCAATATTTTTCAGCTCTTTAAGTCCACTGCAATTTGTGTCTAACTTTTTTTTCAGTTTGGTCACCTTAAACGTTCAACATGAAATCATACACAATCCAATGCACAACTTCACACCAATAATGATCTTATTCTTAGAATGTAAAAAACCAGAAGTCTCTGTTGAGTCTAGCTCTACTGATTTTTACTTATGAAAGATAGAGAAAAAAGCACTTATAACATACCGGTATGACTTAACTATGGCAACAGCAATAAATAAATTAATAATCCTTGCTTTAGTCTCTTTTTGTGACGTCTTGGGGAAAAAAAATCAGAGAATTTTCTGTGTTTTGTTACTATGGCAACATTGTTTATTTATATAAAAAAACCACCGTAAAGAATTATGTATCTTAGTAAAGTCTATTTGTAAACAAAGTGTTATTGAAATCAGACCAAAACTGTAGGAAGAGTAGCATTTTGAAAGGAATTCTTTGAAATTTTATTTTTAGTAATCACGACACCATTCTTTGAAATGAAATACTGATAAACGGAGTTACGTGTCTGACTCTAGTCTACTTGTTTAAAAAGTTTTATTGGAATCAGATTAAACCTATAGATAGGAAAAGTAGTATTTTGAAAGAATTTGATAGATTTTTTAAATCTTTTCATGTAGTAGCCTTGGCAACACCTTTCATCAAAAACCAATATAAAGAAACATGTATCTGAACGTAGTCTACTTCTGTACCCTGTTATATTGAAGTCGGACTAAAACTGTAGGAGAAGTAGCATTTTTAAAGAATTTTACAGAAATATCTATTTTATAGTAACTATGATAAAACCATTCCCCGGAATCAAAAACCGATAAACGGAATTATGTTTCTCACCCTAGTCTACTTATGTACCCAGTTACATGTATATTGAAATGGAATTAAAATTGTAGGAAGAGTAGAGTTATGAAAAAAAAATCACAGAATTTCTATTTCTAGTTACCATGGCAACACCGTCATCAAAGTCAAAAACCGATAAAAAAAAATATGTATTTTTGTGTAAACTACTTGTGTACCAAATTATATTGAAATGCGACCAAAACTCTAGGAGGAGTAGCATTTTGATATATTTTTTTTTTTTTACAGAAAACAGACAGTCATTTGAAGGACACATTACCATCGCATTTATAAGAACTTCAGGGAGCCTATTTTACAAAAGAACTAACGACTACGATTAAAAACTTGAGTTGATTTTAAAATCTTTTGTTTTTGTTAAAAATTGTTTGCATTAAAATATTTTTCTAAATTCTTTACAAAAAGATTAAAACCATTTTCAAAGTAATGCAAAAAGGAAAGTCATTTGCATAATACCATTTTGATCTTAGTTGTAAGTTCTTTTGTAAAACGGGGCCCTTAACTCTGACCAGTAGAGCTAATATGAACTTTACTAAAGGATTACACATAAAAAAGTTAATTCTTATAATAAAGGTGACTTTATTGAGGTTTACATAAGGTTTCCCTTTTAAAGAATATGCAAAGGTATTCTGTGAGTTTAATTTGCATGGTACGTACATTATCATGAAGATTCATTCAATATCTTTGTAGATGAAAAACAGGAAATGAAAGAACAGAACCAACGGAAGGCGAAATGGAAATGGCTTCTTGCGTTCACTCTTGTAAATAATCCAGAACTCTCGCTACAACGAAGACTCACTCTGGCAAAGGAACGCAATGAAAATGTCAAGGAAATTCTCTTCTCGCAGTATGCAATGCCAATGGAAAACGGAAATACTGAATCCAAAATTTAGAAAAGATATGTGGCAATCGCATTTATACATTATTGCATCTAGATGTATTTCGGTGTTATTTGTTTTTCATTTACTATTGCTAAAATTGATATTAATATTTGGAAAGCAATTTTGTGATAAAACTATATGTATAATGTTTTAAGTAGTAGATACGGAAATTCCATATAGGAACATTTTACTTGATATTTTAACTTAAAATTATAAGTAAATCATGAAAGCATTGATTTATTTTATGTTTTATTGGTTTTATAACGAAAACACACTGCCAAAAATATACACTTTGATGCAAAGCTTAATTTTGTGCAATTCAACAACAACAGATTCCAATAATCAAGTGTTTACTACAAGGAAACAATTTAGTAAAGAAAGGCTTACTGATTGCAACATACTTTTATATTAGAAAAAAAGCTTCTGTTTTCTGATTATCGTTCCATTTTAAGTATATAAGTAGTAAACTATTCGATACACATTTATACGCACAGTGCATTAATAAAACAAAAGGCTCATGGGCCTTGATTGTCACTGGAGTAATACACTCTTTAAAAAAAATTAAAATTTGGAAGACCAAATTAATACTCTCTTGGTAAGTATATGTTATTACATGTATATGTACAAAACTTGTTTGGACACACTGCGTATACATGTACATTTTTTGTTATTGTGTTTACTACACATATCTAAAGACAAAATATATTATTGAACATATTTTCAGCATATACATACATGTAATAAAGAACATGGCCGTAGAGACCGGGGGGGGGGGGGGCATGCTCATCAATAATTTTGCCGATATATAGATAACTATAGAAAACATAGCTACTATATGCTTGTGCCCCCTCAATAAAAACGTCACATGATCTTTTTTTTTTGGCTTGTCAAGGAATTTTGGTAGTTGATAAGGCCCCCTCAACTGAACATGTATGGCTGTGCCCCCCCCCCCCCAAACTGAAATTGCTTCCTACGAAATAAGCATTTAAAACAATCTTTTGAGTTCTCATGAATCAAGCGGATATGACGGGTCAGCAGGGGATGTTTACTCCTCCTAGGCACCTGATCCCACCTCTGGTGTTTCTAGGGGTCCATGTTTTTGCCCTCTTCACAATTCGTTTTGTTTACTGTATTTGTATGACTGATCACTGTTCGTTATCTACACATTTTGACTTGTTTGCCGATTTTCGAAGAAATCGTACATCATCATTAAAGTTGTCTATTAGTGTTCCTTAAGATACTCTACGATTTCTGCTAAAGCTTTCTGGGAGCTGGAAAAGAGATCTGGCAGACTCACAAAGCCATGATCCATACCCTTCCAATGGCGATGTCTAACATTTATTCCAAGTCGGTGAAGTCTGTTAACTAAAAAGAAACTGTCATCCCTTAGAGGATCCATTTCTGCCGACAAAATGTATGATTCAGGAAACCTCTTCAAAACATTGTCGTCTACTAAAAGAGGCGAAAACAGCGGATCTAGAAAGTACTTGTTTAATTTCTTTGCTAAAGTTGGATTTACTAGTTTTGGTTTGGATGAATTATCAACCCCCTCACGAAGCTGAGGTGGCAAAGTGTCGATCTTTACCCAGATGGTCTTTTCTTTGACCTCATTTGTCCAGTGACAGTTCTCCAAGAGTTCATCAACATTTACAATTTCCATTCCTAAAGCATAAGCTACGTAAAATTTCATCATTAGTTCAGAAGAAAGAATGGTCGGAACATTTGATCCCCTGTATTTTTGGAAAGATGGCGTTCTGAAATTCACTGCTTGTAATGCAGGATATATGAGAACCAAGTTCCTGATTTTTGGAAGGTTTTCTCTTTCTATTGAGGACGACAGTAATTTTATCATCATAGCCATAGCTAAATTTCCACCAGCACTGTCTCCTTTTCAGAAAAATATTAAAAAATAAAATATCTTGAAAGGTCAAGAAAGCACACCGAGTATCCTCCACGGAAGATTCCGAGTTTCGCGATGTGGAAAAATGATTTTTGAAAAAAAGGTAAATATGCAAATATTATCAAAAATACATATCGTATTTGAAAAAAACTGATTTAAAATTTGAAATATGTGACAAACATTTAAATTGCAACGGTACAAACATAGGTGTTTGGGTTCTAAAATTGGCATTAGATATGAGCAATTTATTCGCAGTTTGATAATAATGTTATATAACTACAGTGTACATTGGAATTCTTTGCTACCACAATGCCTTAACTTTTACTTCAATTTGCTTAAATTTTTGATCATTTTAAAAAGTTCAATACAAAGGTTATTACTAATATTTTATACTCATTCTTTTTTTGCGAAGAATTTAGATTTCACACTTCCCAAAATCGGACTCCTCTGCGGACAATGATTCGGACATCAAATGTAAAGAAAAGAAAGCTCTAAGCATCCAATTGCATACATGCAAAATAAATAAATAAATAAATATAAATAAATGAATGAATAAATAAATAAGTAAATAAATATAAATTACTGATTTTTTTTCTAAATATACCTTTGATACCTTTTCGTATTTGTTTATTAAAATTGCCATACGTACCCATCAACGTGACATAGTTCTGGTTTATTCCAAGGGTTTCTGTGTTTTCTAAGACATAACGGGTGACAGCAAAACAATCGTCTGGTGCAGCCGGAAATGGATTTTTTGGAGCGAGGCGATAGCTGTTAAAGATTTTGAATATATTGAAATGTTGTTTGTTTAAACTGTCATAAGTCTATTCCATTTATTGTTTAATTTTTAGATACAAATATGACAGAACGTTGCAATTTTAATCAATAAACGTTATCGTAAATAATTGAAGGCAGTCCGATATATTTAAAAACATCGAACAATCCTTTAGCGGAATGCTTTGTTCCTACTTAACATAGCCTATCTCATCAGTGTGATTTCATTATGGTTATACGTAATAATAGTCAGAGAATCATAATTACGTACAAAATGGTCATGATCAGATGAATAGATTTTACAATACCTGTCCACAAAATTTCATTTTTTTTTTACTTTATATTTCACTAAAAATTGTCTTTTTGCCAAAAGTTATTGGAACGTTATTTGTACCTCAATTTTTATGGATATCATAAAATGTTGAATTGTTTGTAGTTTTTACACATGAATTCAAAATAATTTTATCTGTAGGCTTTGTGGAAACATCACACATCGAATGCAAATTTAAAATTTTATGTCATACATTTGTTAAGAAGTTATAGTATTTTGAGGTTAGAAATTTTTGACTTCTTTATTTTATGAATTATTCTGATTGATCAATGTGTCATACTTTTCTTCGCATTTTTGAAAAAACAAAAAAACAAAAACGTATCATGCTTTTTCCTTTGTATTATAGCAAACACTCAGTAGAGTTCTTCATGTGTTTAGCCAGTTTGTACAAAACGTGCAGTTAGTGATACAAGCAAGAAATATGAAGAATAAATCGAAATCGTTTGTTTACAAGACATATATTTAATATAAGTTGTTTTTCTACGATATTTTAATGTTGCAAAGACAGGCACATATTCTTGAAATCGTAACACTTAATATAAAGGCAAAACAATAATTATCTATAAAATATAATAATTTAAGTACTAGTTGTAACCGTTTTATTTGAACTTCAGATGTGTATGCTTACCGAACTGATACAATGACCATTTTCCTTAATCGTACCAAAATCCTGAGCACTGAGTCATATCCCTCTAGGAAAAAAATTAAAATAAAGAAGTTAGTATATTTCCACACATCACTTTCTCTTTACTGAGAATCACTTTCTCTTCATTGAATGACAAATATATACTGTAGTTTATAGTACTATAAACTATGGAAATAAACTCTTAGCAATACATGCATATGCAAGTACAAGGGTCGTTCAATAAGTAATGCAAAATGCAATCTAAAAATAAGAAAAACACAAGAAGCAGTTTCTTTATATTTTTAATTCCTCAAAGTATTCCCTGTTAACCTTTATACAAGTCTAAAATCTATGTACTCAAGATCGGAACAACCCTTTTTAAGGATGCTCAAAAGACACTGATGAATAGCACTTTCTATGACATACCTAAAATTGTAAATTCTTCCTTTGATTGCTTTCTTGGGTTTTTGGAATAAAGAGATCTCACGATGAATGAGATCTATCGAATACGAAGGATGGCTAAGCTCTGTTAACGTTCCTTTCTTCAAACTCTCCTTTATACATGTATTTTTATGCTTACAGTGCAGGAAACTAATTTTGTTACAGCATCGATGCTGATTTGAATGCTTCCTTTGCTTGCTGATTTGAATGCTTCCCTTGCTTGCTGATTTAATGCTAGTAATCATTATCCTGATGCTGTTTTATAATTAGGTCAATGCTACCGGAAGTAGTATCATGCTACCGGAAGTAGATAATGAATTTCAGCATTGCCGTTTAAAGCAATAAAAGTGCCTTTTACAATTATTTGATCATAATATCCCACTATGTATCAATAATGTGAATACTTTAACGAATATTCTTTCTTTCTTTTTTAATTTTTTACTGAATTAAAACTCATTGATTTTCTGATGCTAGTAGGATAATGCTGATTTTATGTAGGTCAATGCTGGTTTTATCCTTTGCTTGCTGATGCTGATCCTGGTAATGCTGTTTTTTAAATGCTGATGCTGATGCTAGCTCGATCCTGATGCTACTAATGCTTATGCTGATGCTGGTTTATGTAACAAAATTAGTTCCCTGCACTGTATTTGCAGCAGCATTGTCGGACAAAAGAAAATTAACTCAGGGACCGGTATTCGAACTTCCCTCATAGAAAAGCTGTTGAACTTTCCTCATTGCAATTTTGACATAAGAAAATACCATAGATGGTCGTTCCTTTGGGTGCAAGTTCGCGTATTATTAGATCTTATGACTTAAGAGAAAGCCTGTATACAATGAAATACATGTTGATCTCTGGATTCTCTTTGCAATAATAAGACGACAGCTTTCTCTCCGATTCCACTTTTTATTAAGGTCTTCCGTTTCAGTCGGAAGACCTTATAGTGATTGTACGGTTTATTAAGGTCTTCCGTCTTCACGGAAGACCTTATAGTGATTCTACTGTTTCTTCTTCTTATTAAGGTCTTCCGTCTTCACGGAAGACCTTATAGTGATTCTACTGTTTCTTCTTCTTCTTCTTCTTCTTCTTATTAAGGTCTTCCGTCTTCACGGAAGACCTTATAGTGATTCTACTGTTTCTTCTTATTATTAAGGTCTTCCGTCTTCACGGAAGACCTTATAGTGATTCTACTGTTTCTTATTATTATTATTATTATTATTATTATTCTTATTTTTTTTCCAAAATTTTGTGCACGCGATTTCTCAGCAACTATTCAGTGGTTTTCAATGAAATTTTCAGGAATAATGCGCATCTATAGGAACTTGATACATCTTGGAGGAATTTTGAAAATTGGCTTCCGGTGCCAAGTTATGGACAATTTTCTGATTTTAAAATGAAATTTTGTCGCCCCTTTTTCTCAAAAATGGCTAAAGATATGAACTGGAGACTTGTTGGAGACGATAGAGCATGACTTATAGGTGAACAGAATCACCTTTTCGTTCGTCGTCGGCACTTCCGGTCGCTTACGGAAGTGATCAAAGAAATCGTAAAATTTCAACTTTCTTTTTTTAAATCAATTCTTATATCATATTATTGCATCTCTTTTGTAGTTTCGAAATATGTTGGTCCGACCGGAAACAAAAACGTCAACTTCCGGTTATAAGAGAAAAACTACATAATTTGAGTATTTTTCTTTCCCATTAATATCCTTTGTAGATAGAGTATTTGAAATGAATTTTAATTATGTTATTTAGACTGGAAATATCTAGAGTAACGTCAAATATCTTTGTAAAATTCACTTCCGGTCGCGCGTTTTTCTGTCCTCAAATTGAGAAGTTGTCTGAGCAAGATCTCGGAAACGGTGAGAGATTAAGGCACCAAACTTATTTGAGCAACAGACCTTAAGATGTAGGCAAAACTATTTGGGTTCAGAGCGTCAGCAGTCACTTCCGTTCGTCACAGGAAGTGATCAAAGAAATCGAAAATTTCAATTTTTCTTTTTTTAATTAAAAATTGCATCACTTTATTGCACCTTTTTCGCAGATTTAAAAGATGTTGGTCCCACCGGAAACAAAAACGACAACTTCCGGTTATAAGAGAAAAACTACATAATTTGAGTATTTTTCTTCCCCATAAATATTCTTTGTAGATTTAGTTTTTGAAATGAATCTTAATTATGCCATTCAGAGTGCAAATGTCTAGAGTAGCCGTAAATATATTTCAAAAATTCACTTCCGGTTGCGTGTTTTCCTGTCCTTAAAATGAGAAGATTTCTGCGCGAGATCTCAAAAACAGGTAAAAGATTAAAACACCAAACTTTTATGAGGAATAGACCTTGAGGAGTAGGCAAAACCATTTGGGTTAAACGCGTCAGTCGTCACTTCCACTTGCTACAGGAAGTGATCAAAGAAATCAAAAAATTTAACTTTTCTTTTTTAAATTAAAACTTGCATCACTTTATTGCATCTCTTTCGCTATTTTGAAATATGTATGATTCAACCGGAAACAAATATGTCAACTTCCGGTTTTAGGAGATAAACTACGTTATTTTTATATTTAACTTTCTCATAAATATTACTTATCGATAAAGTACTTGAATTAATTTTATGTATGTTGTAGATACTGCAAATGTCTAGAGAAAAGTCAGAGATTTTCATAAAATTCGCTGACGACCAGAGTTAAATCTTCAGTGTCTGAATTTCATATATCACTTTTTCAGCTTGAATTTTCTTCAGAATCGGACGGAAGACCTCTCATTGCTCGCAATGAGTTTCTAGTTATTATTATTATTATTCTTATTTTTTTTCCTAAATTTTGTGCACGCGATTTCTCAGCAACTATTCAGTGGTTTTCAATGAAATTTTCAGGAATAATGCGCATCTATAGGAACTTGATACATCTTGGAGGAATTTTGAAAATTGGCTTCCGGTGCCAAGTTATGGACAATTTTCTGATTTTAAAATGAAATTTTGTCGCCCCTTTTTCTCAAAAATGGCTAAAGATATGAACTGGAGACTTGTTGGAGTCGATAGAGCATGACTTATAGGTGAACAGAATCACCTTTTCGTTCGTCGTCGGCACTTCCGGTCGCTTACGGAAGTGATCAAAGAAATCGTAAAATTTCAACTTTCTTTTTTTAAATCAATTCTTATATCATATTATTGCATCTCTTTTGTAGTTTCGAAATATGTTGGTCCGACCGGAAACAAAAACGTCAACTTCCGGTTATAAGAGAAAAACTACATAATTTGAGTATTTTTCTTTCCCATTAATATCCTTTGTAGATAGAGTATTTGAAATGAATTTTAATTATGTTATTTAGACTGAAAATATCTAGAGTAACGTCAAATATCTTTGTAAAATTCACTTCCGGTCGCGCGTTTTTCTGTCCTCAAATTGAGAAGTTGTCTGAGCAAGATCTCGGAAACGGTGAGAGATTAAGGCACCAAACTTATTTGAGCAACAGACCTTAAGATGTAGGCAAAACTATTTGGGTTCAGAGCGTCAGCCGTCACTTCCGTTCGTCACAGGAAGTGATCAAAGAAATCGAAAATTTCAATTTTTCTTTTTTTAATTAAAAATTGCATCACTTTATTGCACCTTTTTTGCAGATTTAAAAGATGTTGGTCCCACCGGAAACAAAAACGACAACTTCCGGTTATAAGAGAAAAACTACATAATTTGAGTATTTTTCTTTCCCATAAATATTCTTTGTAGATTTAGTTTTTGAAATGAATCTTAATTATGTCATTCAGAGTGCAAATGTCTAGAGTAGCCGTAAATATATTTCAAAAATTCACTTCCGGTTGCGTGTTTTCCTGTCCTTAAAATGAGAAGATTTCTGCGCGAGATCTCAAAAACAGGTAAAAGATTAAAACACCAAACTTTTATGAGGAATAGACCTTGAGGAGTAGGCAAAACCATTTGGGTTAAACGCGTCAGTCGTCACTTCCACTTGCTACAGGAAGTGATCAAAGAAATCAAAAAATTTAACTTTTCTTTTTTAAATTAAAACTTGCATCACTTTATTGCATCTCTTTCGCTATTTTGAAATATGTATGATTCAACCGGAAACAAATATGTCAACTTCCGGTTTTAGGAGATAAACTACGTTATTTTTATATTTAACTTTCTCATAAATATTACTTATCGATAAAGTACTTGAATTAATTTTATGTATGTTGTAGATACTGCAAATGTCTAGAGAAAAGTCAGAGATTTTCATAAAATTCACTTCCGGTCGCGTGTTTACCTGTCCTCAAAATTAGAATTTGTTCTCACAATATTGCTCGGCAACAAAGAAGGACTGAAGTCTAAAGCTTTCAGGACTGATAGTCAGTTATCAGTTTATTTGAATCGTGAGATAATCTTGTATCGCCGTTTTTTCCAATTGTGACAGGAAGTGATGCAAAAAGATGAATGGTGAATGGTTAGCAAGCTGGATTTTTTCGCTGACGACCAGGGTTAAATCTTCAGTGTCTGAATTTCATATATCACTTTTTCAGCTTGAATTTTCTTTTTTTTTTCAGAATAGGACGGAAGACCTCTCATTGCTCGCAATGTGTTTCTAGTTATTATTATTATTTTCCCCACAATTTTGTGCAGGCGATTTCTCAAAAACTATTCAG